TTTGTTCTGTTTCAGCAGCGAAAAAATAGTTCCAAACAAAGATCTCAGCAGATCCATTGTGCATCTTACAGCAACACTCAGCCGTGTTTTCATTACTGAATGATTCAGAGTTTTGAACGAATCGGTTGAGTCAAAGATTCAATGACCCACTCATAAACATAAACATTCTTGAATGAATTCATCGTTTGAACGAACGAATTAATGACTCGCTCATTAAGACAGTCGAATCGACTGCCTCCACCTACTGGTGGTTTAGTGTTATGTTTAAAAGTATCATTCTTTCCAACATTGCTTAAGTTATATTTGTATATTTAAAACAATCTCATTACATTATTTAATCCAATTGTATTTTTTCAGTGTAAATGATTTAATTTGATCAGCCCTATAGGGTAACAGCCCTATATGTCTTATTATTCTAAATAATTTAATATTTAAATAAATAATTCATGCATACCTCCAGTGTAAATAAAAGTTATTTTATCATGGATTTAGTATGTGGCCCTTCAATTGGTTAGCAAAACTTGATGTGCCCCTCTGGTCTAAAAAGTTTGCCCACCTCTGGATTAATCAATTTGACAGCACTAATTATGTCAAATATTAAATTAAATGTCACCAAATAAATGAATAAATATATAAAATGTCATTTATAAATATATATATATATATTTTTTTTAATTACTAGGAAATTAAAACATTTAAATGTAATTAAATAAAAATACAACTAAAATAAAATGTTAACCACTGCCAACTGAGCTAGAATGGTTATTATAAGATAGGAAACGTGTATGTCTGCAGTACACAAGATTTTCACAACCCACACCAAAGCATTCGCTATAAATGTCTCCAATTTATCCCCAGTGTCTTGAGTTAGCCAGCACTGTTCTCTGTCTTTAATGTGGGCATTGTGAGGCGTAGCGGTTCACACATTGGATAAAGCTGATTTTGAGTCGTAAAACTATACTGAACTCCAGCCAGGGTTGCAGTAACATCATTCAAACACTTCCATTTTTGCTACATTAACTTCAGGCAGCCTGAGCTGTTACAAGAGCCTTATAAAGAAGCATGTCCAGCACATATTCTGAGCATGGTTTCACAGGAAACCAGATCATCAATAAAGGATGTTCTAAACTGTGCTCTGGAGAGCTTGCATGTACACTCCCATGTGTTGTTTTGAGCACACTAGGGACAGGCACAGCGAAATTAATACAAACAGCTGAAGAATTTGCTTTGCGAGCAGCAGAGTTTTGTTCAACAGCTCATATGGATGCCTTGTGTGCATTGTGAATGTTTCTTGCTGATCAAATTGCTCAACAAAACAGGACACATGCGTTGAATATGTCAGGGGAGTGATTGCTATCAAAATATGCTTTCAACAGATAATTGGCTTGTAAAGTATTAGGCTATTTGGTTTTGCAACTCTTCTGGGAGATGTACTTTAATGTGTTGGACTGATATGATTTGCTTTAAAATAGTTCTGTGTCCAGGTCTTTGACTAATAAGGTTTGGTCCACATTGAAGCTTATTCTGGCACACACAATTGGCACACGGGAGAGCAAGGTGAATAGTGACCAGCAACCTAAGAGCTCCAACATCAACACAGACGTTCAGATGCTTAACAAATGAACACACACACTGAATAAAAGTCTTCTGTAAAAGGGGAAACAGATACTTGAACAACTGATTAAAAGAACATTCAAAATAAATACAGATTTGTTTTTTGTTTTAAGAAGAATCTGTAATAAATAATAAAAAATTAGATCTTAAGGGTTAGTCTGGATGACATTACAACAAACACTTCGGAACTGCTCTCAATATCACTTCACCCAAACAAATCAATTTAATTCAGAAAAGATAGTCTGAGAAGACAGTCGTGGATGTCATTTCATACGTCTACCACAAGAGGACAGAACTGCATCTAAAATGCAAAGAAAGAAAAAAAAAAGGTAAAAACCCCCTACATTTTAAATTCATTTAAAATGAAAGGTCATTGAGAATTAATTCAAATGAATAAAAAGTGATTATTTCAAATAGAACAAAGTCTAATGCTATTATTACTAAAGATATTATTTTAAATACAGGTTTTTTTTTTGGTTTTTTTTAAATACTGGTCTAAAATGCACACCTAAAAAAACAACTTATACACTTCAACTACAGAGAGACAAAGATTTTCCATATCAAATTTTATTGCTGACATGCATGTAGAGATTTGATGAAGTACAAAAATATGTCTTTTATACAAATTTGTTTTTCATCTCTGTACAATTACCCAGTTTTTTTTTTTCTTTGACACCATTCTAACCAAGCAGCTTACAACATCAAACGTTCAGGCAAGTTTCATCATGTTTCGTTTTACATCAGATTTAGATTTTCCAGTTTTAGTAAAAGATGCAAAAAAGTAACCATTCTAAAGAGAAATCTCCCAATTTATGAAACATCTGCACAAAGTGGCCAAAAAAAGAAAAGAAATTCAAAGTCAAACTTAATGTTCGGTATCTTCCCTTGCACTGTCTTTGTGTTTGAGTATTCATCATTTGCAAAACACCCACATTCACTCCAATATCTGCTGCATCTTATGGCACGTCTTGCTAATTAGAATCATGCACTAATTGCTTTTAAACTGTATACAGAGCTCAACAAAGTACGCTTGTCATGCTGCAGACAGAATTTGGACATCACAAAACTGTCTATGCAAGGTGGGGGGGTGGGGCACTTGCAGTCACTTAGGTAGGGGGCATATTAAACAAAAATGTACTAATTTCTTTCATCTAGGTTTTGGGTACAGACTACACAACCACATCAACAGCAGTCATATTGCAACCGTACAGATTTGCTATGATATAATGGCTTTTGTGAGAACTCTACGCTGACCTAGTATATAGCCTTGAGGCACTCCTTATTGTATCGATGGAAAGGACTTTGATTTGCTCACAAATAGCTCCTCTCACCATCGAGTCACATATTATCCACTACAATACTGCTTTATAACCAAATAAATTCACATTGAGCTGGGAAAAACTAATGCTTTCAAAGGTGGCTTGTGTGGAACATTGGTGTGATTCTTCAAAATAATAATACCCTGTACTGGGTTTTGCACTACTGATGCCCATTCGCCATTACGATGTCTTTCACACTGGCCAGAGTGCGGTATCATCCTTACCTCGCAAGATAAACTCTACATCGATTCTACATGTCATGCTAATGTGCACATTGACTTAAAATAGAGCTATGCAAAGTCAGTCTCCTAATTAGTGTAGCTTAATATACCGACAGGATTGTTGCAATAATTATTCAAGAATTTAAAAAAAGAAGGAAAGAGAGTCAATAAAACAAAACCTTCACTGAAGATAGAAGGGGAAAAAACGTGAGAGATCACAGCAATGCTTTCGAGTGATATATGATCTCTACATTTACTATGGCAGATTAATTAAAACAGCAAATAAATTAAAAGGAAAACAGAACGGTAAGAAAGTACTACCAGCCTTTACGTCTTTGAGAGAGGAAATCAAGGTGGAGATTAAAAAGGACAAGTCAAGCTGCTAGTCATGAGCTCAGAGACCTACAGTACTGGATGACCTTTTCATCTAATGACATGAGTGGAGCCAGACATAAAGGCATTGCAAACTAAGCCACAGGTCCATGCAAGCCAACCGCCTAGTATACTAAGATATATTCTAGCATCAAAAGTACATATTCACTGCTCATGGTTGAGAATCTGTTGATAATCTAAGGCAAGATATCCCACAGTTATGCTTTATACAAATGGGGTAGCTTAAATGGGATTGGAAAAGTCAAATGAGATTAAGAATCTGTTTCCTTGCAAAATTCTCACAAAAGAAACAGACTAAGAGGAGTGAGTTTGATGGCATTTCCTTCCTGATGAGCTTGAAATATTGAATAACCATACATGGAAATGAGGGGTAGGTGAGGGAATAAAATTAAAAGAAACACAAAAAGAAACAGTCCCCTATGCAATTGGTTTCTTTGTATCACGGTGGCCAAAAACGTTCCCTAGCGGCCAATCCTCGATCCCTGAGCTGCAGCTGAAATCTGTGTGGGGAACGAAAGCACCGGAGATAGAGGACATGGCAGAAGATGCACTTTGATGGCTTGGCATGCTATCAGAGGGTGAGCGCTATAGACGGAGGGAAACAAAAGGAAAGGAGGGCTTAAGGGCTGTGCTTACAGGGCTTATCTTGGCTTAGACTTCCGCATGACTGCCGGCTCAGCCGCCCTGCTTCCTGACAGTTTCATCCCATCACCAGCTGTCCCATACCTCATCTTTTTCCAAGCACAGCCCCACAAAGAGTCCCTATGTGATATACCCACCAATATCCATGGCTGTCCCACCCAGCTCAGCTTTCGAGAGCCCGTTGTAGTGGCATATACCATGTTTAAAATGTACATTTCTGTTTACAGTTGGGAGGAATGCACAGGAAATGGTGGTCTTGATATATATGCTGCCTTCTGATTGGACGAAAGCAAACGGGGAGAGTAACGTACCAGTAACGCCGGTTTAGATGCCAAGTTAAGCTTTTGGTTGTATGCATCCAGACACAGATGCTAGCTGCCAACAGAAACCCATTCAAATAGAGGAATGAGAAACATGCGCTGCTATGATTTCAGTAATATGAGGTTATTAGCTTTCTAACTTACACTTAACATCTTCAAATGGCAAAAAAAGAGAATAATCTTACTTAAAATGCTACTGTTATTGTAGGAGAGGAGGGGAAAAAGCTTATTTAGATTGAGGAAAAACCAATCACTGGTTTTGACACAGAATAGTTACACAACCACAATCCTAATGCTCTTGAGCCTGTGCTTGTCTCCCCCTCAACATAAGGAGTCCTGCTTTCATAAGAACGGAGAGCATTGTTAAAAACTGACCAAGAAAGGAGGAAATAGAGAGATAGAAAAAATGGTAAGAGGTAGATTTGCAATCATAGATGCAGATGGGAGCGGAACAGACAAACTGGTTGAGGGGAACAGAACGAAAGGGTTGATCATGTGATCCGAGGCATTTCTGTAGAAAGTGCTGGGGGAGAGGTGGGTGGGGAAGGGTGGTTGTGTGTCATCTGCTACATGATTCTGTTGGGGTATTGCTGAAAGTGTGTGTGTGTGTGTCAGTGTGTGTCAGATTTGGGCAAGGATTGGCATGGTGGAGGTGGTGTTGGTGGTCAGTCTCATTAGACCTTTGTGCCGCCCATAGGCAGAGTCTGTGTCCTGTGTGGATGAATAGAGCAACAGAGCACTGAGCTGTTCCTTGGCCCTTGTTTGTGTCTGCCAGACTCATGCTGCATACTCACAAACACTCTCTCACACACAACGTACATACAAGTGTGCGCCTAGTTCGGAGGCTCAATCCACTCCCGGTGACCACCGCCCATGGACAGAAAGGCGGTGTTACTTCCGGAGGAAGCGCTGGGCCAGTATTGCGGCATCCAGAGGACTGATGGGCTGTGCATCGTGGCCGAGGCGCCTCACTGGAGGCACGTTACCGAAATGCCTCTTGCTGAGGAAGTTCTTGGTCTCGTGTATAGTGTTCTTCTCTTCAGCCAACAAGAGCTGTTGCCTCATGTAGTTCTCAAATTCGTACTGAGACGACTCCTCTGTCACTTTCGCCTGAGGATATAATAAAAGACTGTCTCAGAGCCAGTAAGAACCTCATCATAGTAATGCTAGTTAAAGAGTAATTCCTATTATTCTCAATCCCAACTTAATAAGCAAAGACAACTGCAGACAAGCCACTGGTTGGTTGGTTGAAACACTGGCACTTTCAAAACATTGTCAGGTTGGCAGGATTCTCAAGCAGAGCAAACCAACCAATGGTGTGAGTTTAAGGTGGGACTATCAGTTAACCCGTTTTGAAAATATATTTTTACAATTTCGTTCAGAGCTACAAGAGGCACTACACAATTTTGGCCCTTATTTATAAGACACAAGTAAAACAAACACGTACGATGTTAACAAATCAGTTCATACATAAATTGTCCCATTCATTTAAATGCAACAATTTATGCAACAGAGTTTAAGCAGTGGTTCTAAATAATTTTAAGTTAACCTGTGCCCCTTGTGTTTCATAAAAAAAGTCCTTCACCCTTAAACTTTCATATAATTGTAATTCCAACGAGTGGTACTGACCTCCTGAAGATGTTCGGGGTGGTTAAGCTGATCATCTATGTCTGGCACCACTTGTAGAGGGCCACTCAGCGAGGACACAGATTGCCTGTTTAAAAAAATAAAAATCTTTCAATGACACATAGGAATTTTCAGCTGTATAGCCAAGGGAGCTTTAAATGCATCATTGAAAACTGCAATGGATTGCAAAAATTGTGGCGAGACAACATGGCTGACCCAACATGACATCACCCCATCACATGAATTCCTAAGTTGTCTGACAAGAACTCTTGGCTAAAAATGGAACTATAAAGCTGATCTCATATCAGATGAGACGCACCAGGATGCGATGATGGCGCTCAGAGACTCGAGCACCTCGGTGGCAGTGAGCCTCTGCTGGGGGTCAAGCACCAGAAGCTTCCTGATCAAACACACCGTACTTTCTGATACCCGCCCATCCCTGCACAAACAAAAGACAAAGACGCATAAGCATTTACATTAACATTTCACAGACTTCATTGAATGTAATAGCTCACCAAAAATAAAAATAAATAAAAATAAAAGTTCTAAGGTGTGCAATTATTTTCAGGGAAAGGCACGGCTAAAGTAATTCCAGGCAGGTCTTGACCGCATTACAGTTCCATATCACTTCGCCAAATGATTTCAGTTATTACAAAGGTCCTTACAGCCTACAACAGCTAAAAAACAACACTGACCAACCAAATAATATATAGTAAGCAATATAAAAACGTCAAAATTATTTCCATGTTTTTGCCACAAAATTATGTTTTATTATGTAGCACATACTCTCTCTCTCTCCCACTCAAAAGCGTAAACTGTACTAAAGGTTTCTGCGAGAGTGAGGGCGGGACCTTGATATCCCAAATGATGATTCACCAATGGAAGAGAGTGAAGGGGTGTCGTCCATCTTTTTTTACAGTCTATGGTACGGACACACACTCGCACAGAAACATGTTGTCAGTGCTGCTCTGACGATTTTATCAGTAAAATCGTTTAGCAACTTAAAAGCTACATGACATTTCTCACTAGCGAGGTAATAATGGCTCTGTTCTTGAAGCAGATACACTTACAGTTTTGCTATTAGAGATGCGACGCGGTCGCGATGCCACGTGCTCGTTTTTTCCAAGCGCGTCCGTGCCGCATCGAGATAAAAACATCTCAATTTTTCAGAATGCCGCAACCGCACCATAAGAGCACAGTAGGTCACGTGACAAGAACCAACCGGAGCGCAACCGCCCTAGCGCTTGGAAAAAGGAGAATGCAGCACGCCCAGCGTTTTCTACGCGTTTTTAGGCGCTATATGTGAATCCGGCCTTAGTCTGCTATCAATGGCTCAAACCTCCATTATTAGCACTAAAATTGCATTTAGAATTGGCAAGTAGGGTTGCCACCTTCAGCGGCTTGCAACAGAACACATTATTATATTACATTTGATTATTGTATTTATTTCTACATAACTCCGTATATGTTCAATATATGTTGGTGTGCCTTAAGCAGTCATTCTGAACCAGCAATCATGTTTTTAACAATTCTGCCGGGATGGGATGATTTTTTCCATTTTTAATTTATTTACTACTTAAATTATGACAACATTATTATGCAATTATTTGTCCCATTTTTATTTAAATAATTTAGCACTTTTTCAAACTTTTTTTAAATGCCATACATTGTGTATGACAGATAGGATCATCAATTACTATGCATATGATTAATATTTAAAACGATAAATTAATAAATAACATTAATTATCATCTATTAATTAATCTGTCTAATAACATCTACGAATATAATAGTTACCTGTCTACCAAGCTCTGACAATGTATGGAATATTATATTAAAGGTACAATATGTAAGAATTTTGTAATAAAATATCCAAAAATCACTTGCACAGTGTGATATATTTCCTGCAGTTGTGTACTTACAATATCCCAAAAGGCTCCAAAGATTTTTTATTTCAGAGAAATTCCAATTTTAAATAAGTGGCCGTCCCGGAAAAAAATGTCGCCTGTCAATGACGCAAAATCCGCGCTATCCTCGGTTTCCGTTCATACTGCCACAGCCATGACGTAACCATGGCGACAGACGTGGACAACTGCGTAGTGCGCAACGTTTAGCGGCACGCAGTTCTTGTTTCTTTCAAACATAGACCATGGCAAGCAGACTTTGGGACAAACAAGGAGAACTAAAATGAGGATCAATATCAGCGAGGCGTTTTTGAGATGCCGAGAGCTAGCGTCCGCGACTAACTTGGACTTGACAGAGCTTCACGAGTCACGACTTGACAGCTTTATTAGACAGGTGAGCAAATGTACATCAATGTTATATAACGTTAGCTCAACATGATGAAATGTTAGAATATGGTCAGTTATTCTAATGTTGATCTAGCTTACTGCTAGTTTCGTATAGAAAACGAACTAACACGTAGTATAACATTATAACTTTCAACACACATTAAAATGACGTTTAGTGTGATAGTGTAGCGTTAGACCAAGTGAAGCAGCGCTGCGTTACCTCACAAGTTTAATTCGTCTAATAAACTGACCTGTGTGAGTAATTCAGCACTTGCGAGTAGTTCGGTAGAATTAAATGTCCTTATTCCTTTATATACGCGGGACTCGCGTGTGATATCTGTCTCTTTAGCAATCGCGACCTGCTTCATACCACTGTAATGTTAAAAAACATGAATGTTTGCACTCATCCATAAACATTATTAGATCCATCAGCTTGACAGCAAGTCCCATCATTCAGCTCATCACTGCGTCATAAACCTACGCCTTTGTTATTGTTGGAAACTGCGCCCTCTTGTGGTGAAAAAAACCTACATATTGTGCCTTTAAGAGATTATCCAAATTTAAAAACAAAAACAAAAAAACAATAGGCCTATACTTTTAAAAGTACAGATTTGTCGGTCACGGCATGCTGCTCACATCGCACCGTGTGAGCAAATGAAACTGTGTAGTTCGCCTTACGTTCATCATTAGTTACTGGACAGACCCATTGAAACCTTTTTCATATCTGGAGAGGACATGAGCTCGACATGGTTTTAAAAAACCATGCATTACGCCCGTTTACGGCGCATCATGTTCTCTAGACTCCGTCGCTATGGAAACAAAGATGCCGCTAACATGCAATCACCCGCAAATTAACTTCTCCACTACTTCTTGTGAAATTGATTTCATTATAATTACTATTAGTATTATACACATTGCAAAATCCTTATTTGTTTTTTCCAACTATGTGTGGGTCTATGTACCACCTCGGGTGTGCATTATTTTCTAAAAATTCAACAGCCCATCATCAATTATTCCTTACTTATACTACGGCAAATGTCATATGACAATTTTGTGTGGAACAGAAGAAAATTTAATGAAAATCTTGACACACGATGTGAACAAGTGGGGTTTTTTTTATTATCGAGTGAACTATCCTTTTAAACAAGGGCCAACACAATATTTGCTAATTAACATGTTTAAACACATTTGATGAATATCAAAGCACAGAGATAATGGAGAGACTCACTCAGGGATGGAGTACTCTGCTGCTTTGATCTTGCGGAAGAGCTCTTGAGGTATACTGTCATAGAACGGGAACTGGCCGTAGAGCATGGTAAACAGCACCACTCCGAGTGCCCACATATCGCTGGGTTTACCGCGGTACGGTCGACCTACATGGAAACACAAAGTGCAATTTCAGCAGGCAGCTCTACAACAGATTGCTTATTCAATCAGACTCGAACTTTCTCTTGGCACAGTATCAAACGCTACACAAGTACGTTAGAGGTTTTCAGCACCCATTACTCCAATCTTCAGTCACATGACCCTTCTGAAATCATTCCAATATGCTAATTTGGTGCTCCAAAAAGATTTGATTTATTATCAATGTTGAAAACAGTTGTGCTCCTAAATATTTTTGTTAACAAAACATGATAAAAAAAATTCAGGATTCTTTGATGAATAGAAAGTTCAAAAGAACAGCATTTATTTGAAATAGAAACATTTGTAACATTTGTCATTTGTGATCATAACATTGTAAATGTCTTTACTGTCACTTTTAATCAATTTAATGCATCCGTGCTGAAGTATTAATAAAAAAAAAATCTAATTGACCCCAAACTTATGAATGGTGTGTTTAAAAGATAGTGACACTCTTGGTACCATATGTTATATAGTCCCCCAAAACCTATTCACACTCACCATACTGGTTTGTTTACCACCATAAATGGGCAACAGAACACAACATGCCAGAAGAGTACAAATGAGTCATGGGAGCTTGTTTTAAAAGAGGGGTTAATTGGGTAGGTTTCTGTTTGGTAAACAGCTTGATTTGCATGGTATATTTTTCTGTAATGTACACATTATTTCTTTTTACTTTGACCCTACGCATGAGAAAGCGAAAGAGAGGTAGAGGAGAGAGAGTGAGCGATGGAAAACAGTGAGAGGAAGAGAGAGAGAGAGATAGGGAGAGAGAGCAGGAAGAGTAGTTCCTCTCTGCATGACTCATTGTGATGACTCACTGAAGCAGCTCTCCCTTTGTTCTGCTGTCATATTCGGCTGATTTACTCCCGGTTTCTTTCTGTCATTTTACTGTGAATGGAGACCACAAACAAGAGCTCGACTGCGCCTCTATTTAACATGCATGCTCGGAATGCACCATCTAACCAGAGCCTACATCCACAGAGGTCTCGGAAAAACCCAGAAAACACATGAAAGACAGTTTTGGAAAGGTTGTGTTGTCGGATATTTTAGCTAGTGCATCAACTAAACGAAAAAGATTTGAAAGCACAGGAATTTTTAACCATTTCATACAAATAGCACTCTGTTCATGGGACATTAGCATACATAGTACACAAATATTGATTTTGGATAAAAGCCAATTTAGTTTTGAATGAATCATACTTGTACTTAATTATCAATGTCATTACGCTTTATTTAATTTTTCACTAAACTGATGGCGTCTTTGAATTAGGCAAAACAAAAAATAGGTATCTCAGGAGGCAACCTTCCTTTTGGAATAGAAGCCTGTGATGCCTTGATGCACAGGTTTTTGAAACTATATGAATATATTTACATACTTTGTTTTGCAATGTAAAAAACAAAAACAAAGAGAGTCATTATTGTACTTCATACATTTTAATGTGGGAGGGACAACGAGACATTTAGCTGAATGTCAGCTTCTAGTGGCTTGAAAGTAACTTTAATTGTTACCAGAACAATTGTTGGTGATACAATATTTGGCCTGCTGAAGACCCCTGAATATTTTATATTTTAGGAATATAAATATTTAGTAATATTTATTAAACATAAGCTAAACAATTGACAGCATATGTAGCCCACTGACAAAAACAATATTGACTAGCCACATTTAAGTTTGTGGATTTTTTTTTATAAAAATACACGGGGCAAGTGTGCAATGCTCCATAGACATCCACCGTAAGTATTTCTTAACACATGTTTTTAGAAACAAAATTTTATATAAAAGGTCCAAATATTTATTCTTTTGACTACATAAATATACATATACCTCTTTCGACTACATAAATGTTTGACACAAGATAAACAGCAAGTCTCATGTACTGAAATTACATCACTTGAGTGAACTTCGGTTCCACAAAGAAAGAGATTGTTTGGAAAGATAAACCTCGTGATAAAACCGCTGTTAATTTTATCTGTAGCACTGCTGAGATCTGCCCGAGGGCCATGACAACAAGCTTAAGGGAAGAGTTTTGGTATCGAGTCGTTGAGGAGCTAACAGGTCAGTCCTGCGGCACACAACACAAATAATGACTTCAATAAAAGTAACTATTGCTCATCCATGCCGACGGTTTGTGACTGCTGTCCTGATTAGGGCCGGGTAGGTGGTTGGGTTTATGAGCTTTGATTACAGTGGTGACATGAAGGGTGAGTCACACACATAAACACACACAGAGAGAGAAGCTAGATTCTCACCACTTAGGACATCTGGGCTGATGTAGGCTGGACTGCCTCGCTGGTCCTTTAACAGATCTTCTTCACTCACCAAATGCTTGCCAAGGCAAAAGTTTGTGATGGTGATCCGATGGGTCCTGGAGCACACAAACACAACATGCCGATGACGTCAAAAAACAACCATGAATTCAAGTCGCACTGTTTATTAAAAAGACAGCTTGTGAAATAAAGGTCATAATTTACCACAAAATCAAAACGACAAAAAAAAGACAAAATTATATGTTATATAAAGAAAATCAGAAATATTAAAAGGGACAGTCCACCCAAAAAAAATGATTCTGTCATTTACTCATCCTCAAGTTGTTCCAAACCTGTATTACTTTCTGTATTTTTGAATTTCTTTCTTCTGCTGAACACAAAATATATTTTGAAGAATATAGGCAACCAAACAATTGAAGGGCCCCATTGACTTCCATAGTATGGGGGAAAAAATACTATTAGTCAATGGGGCCCATCAGTTTTTTGGTTATTAAATGATGACAATTTAAATTTTTGGGTGAACTATCCCTTCCTTTGCAGCATAACATTATTTTCATTACATGACAATCTATCTTGTCTAAAGAAAAGGCATTTATTTATTCTCTTTAAATAAAATTCTTGAATTTTGTATTGCAATCCGATTCAGAAATATTTGTTTTTGTTAGATTCACCCTCAAAGAGGCACTCTAAAATTCTGTATTCAATTCATTTTTACGACACACAAACACACTATATATATGCATATCAAAATGAAACTGTTGTTAGGTGAGTCGTGTTTCTATCTGTGCAAACATGCCTTTGATATTTTTGTCTCTGTCATTAAATCTAATCTATGGCAGGGAGCCATTCTGCCTTTCCAGAAAGCAGAACCCAACATGACAGAACACACCGTGACTGCACTTGACAAACAAGTGAGTCACCTGTGGCTTCTCACAAGCTCGGTGATGACTAATCTTTGCACCTCAGAAAGGAAAGAACAGCACTTTTTCAGTGACAGGCATGCAATGAAAACAAGCACACCAACATAGAGAACCATGTAAAAAAAAAAATACAATCACATTTACAATGAGCAAAACTAACGCGTCAGCTGACTGAGCTGAACTGGGGGACCTCCAATGTGAGAATTCACACAGTCAAGAGCTGTAATCTCCCTTCACTCAAAACAAAACAAAAAATCCACCACAACAGCTACATCTCTCAGCTACATCCTCTTTCCCATGCTTCCCCAGTTACGCTCTCACTTTCACACCCTGAAAGTGACTGTCACACTTACGCCTAACAGTTACAAACAGGCTCGTTCCAGAAGCTTTGTTTTTCCCAGAAGAATTTCTTACTGGTTTAAGGCTCATTACCATCTTCATTTAAAAAGGAGGGTCATGATTAAATTAGATTAGAAGTGAAAAGAGAGTTGAGATTAGTCACAATGGACTATGTGAAAAAACGCTATCCATTCTACACAGCATCTGTACCAGTTATAATCTGTTTAAGTTTTCAATTTCAGCTTACTTTTAATGGTACACACTCATCGACAATTTGCTAAAGTTTATGCGTTTCAAGGTATTTGAATACATAATATATTCAAAAGTTTTGTGTTGAATGGAGATGACCGCGTCGTTTTTGCACGGCAATTTCACATGGTGGCAATATTTTCAAATGACATGCTCCTAAATGTCACAAACTGGTTGTCTTCCATGACGTTCTTTACATGCAGCATCTAATTCCTGCTAGATTTAATCTTCATAATAGTTTTAATCTTCATAATAGTTTTATTCTAAATGGAAGCTTTTATCTGACTCCATGACTGTTTGAGCTTTGGTTCTCGAACGAAAAAAAGTCAGCAAGTGTTTCTCCTCAGGACATTCTCATTGCTCACTCTCCTCTTCCTGCTCAAGTGAAGAGACCAGAAGCCTCCCAGTCTCTCAGTGCTGCTAAAATTAGCCCCCGTTGATGGGAAAAGTTAAATGGTTTAAACGCAAGAGGAAGTCTCGATGTTGAAATCCGGTCAGAACTGCCTCTGCAGGGTGAGGTTAATGTGGGATTTTGATGCAATTGTTTAGTATTGGAGTTCCTTTGCTTGGGCAATCTGTGCTGTACGAGGAACAAAGATAATAGTGAAAGCAAATGTGCAGATCAGGCAATTTGTTCACTTTTATAGAGCCTTGATGGTGACAGCCATATGGTGCTCCCTGAAGAGCGAAGTGTGTAAGCTGTGAAGGAGGGAAAAGAGGTATGAAATGATGGCACCAACGCTTGTGAAATGTGAGAGAAGCTTCCGCACTACATGGCAGTTATTGACAAAATGCTGATGATAAAGCCTTCACAGGTTGATTCTGCAGCATGCAGAAAGCTCCACAGATATTACATGTCAGAACCACATTCAGCAGTCATTTTCGAAGGCCCAAGTATCATGTCATGGACCACTTATGACCAATACCGAGTACTTTCCATTCCACCCAAATCCAACAGTCTGCCGGCTGGGCAGGGTCACACAGACAGTCGAATCAGAAGGGTATTTGGAGAGTGAAAAAGCGAGGGGGGGAGGTCTGCCAGCGTTACATGAGTGTGACTCAGCTCTGAGCTATGAATCCTTTGGCAGAGGGCTGTATTATCTCCAGCTGGGACACAGTGTTCTGCTCTCTTGCTGAACTGAAGCAGACAGACCAGACTGCTCGGTTTCATCACCATAGGGTCCAGTGACAAGTGTGCATACGTGTGGATGTTTTCTTTTGCTGTTCATCAATGCAATACCAGTCTTTTTAATTGACTCCCATGGAACAAGCGTAAAATGCTTGACTCAACAATGGCACATGCAAGAAATTAAAATGAAAAAAAAGAGAAAAAAAAGAAAACTAAAAAATGCACTGCCACACCAGGCAAAAACAAATGCACTGAAACTCACGTGTTACTCAATGTTCATATTTCATAACTCGACAACTCTTTTCAGAGAAAATTTAGAATTGCATATGGGTAGCCTAAGTTTTACCAAGCGATATTAATTTGGGGTTGATTTGTTTTTTAATGTTTATAAAAAAAATATTTGATGCACACCAAGGCTGCATTTCCAACAGTAACATTTTGAAATATTATTACAATTTAAAATACATTGTAAAATATTTTCCTGTGTGGCAAAGCTGAATTTAAGCAGCCATTACGCCAGTCTTCAGTGTATTTGAAGAAACAGTGATCCCATTTTTTTTCACAATGTAAAGGTCTTTACTGTCAAGTTTGATCAATTTAATGCATCCTTGCTTATTTCTTAAAAAAAAAAAAAGCTGACCCCAAACTTTTGAAAGGTAGTGTAAGTTAGAAGCATTTTTAGATAAAACAGTAGGCTTTGTTTTTCTGTGGACTTGAAGGGGTTAATGCAAAAAATGCTGCATAATGCATACCATCTATTCAACCAGCCAGAACGCAAGTACAGTTGCCTGTAAAGAGACAAGGAAGAGAGAGAGGATGATGAAAGAAACTAGACCCACTCCTCCTCTCTCTTACACATGCCACTGAGCTTATATGGTGTGACGGGTTTCGTAATTAGACAAGCTGGGCACTTATGTGACTGAACTACAATATGTGAGAACTCAGTGGCGAGCAACACATGCTGGCAAATGTGACAGGCAGAACTGAGGATTTTCAATTAGTCAGTAACTCTCTCGTTCCTCAGGACAGTTAAAATGGCAGAGACAAAAGAGCTGTTTTTAGAAGCATTCCCATTCCACAAACGGCAGAAACACATGCACACGGCACATATGGTGTTTGGAGAGGGTCTTTATGGATGAGGGATTGGGAATTCCACTAGACCTATCTGATTCACAGTGCTTGCCGACATCAGATGCCTTCAAGCTAGCTAAAACATGTGCGGTTTTACCAGCCCCCCCCTTCCCTGGCTCTATCACCCTCTCCTTTTTTCCAGGGAATGAACCAGGGGCACGTTCCATGCCTGTTCGTTTTAACTGGGATAGTTTCCCGCTGCTCCCTCCCCTCCCTCTTCTGCCTGTGGGGATGAATCACACTCACACTAAGAGCTCAAGAGGAGAGGGGTCAATGAGGCCAGACGGTGCTCCATGAAACCTCAACAGAGACCTGAGCGCACAGAAAACTCCACTAGCACAGCGTTAGCAGGTAAAAGGAAGAGGAAAGACGTCTTACCTTTTATTGAGCACCATGTTTCCAAGCTTCAAGTCTCTATGCACGATGTTCTTCTACAATGGTAAGAACAGTGAACGGTTACAATATATACCCAGCAGGTTCGAAATGCTGCCTTTATATTAAAGATGGCAGTTTAAAGCTGTGTAGCGGACATTACATTCTTTTCACTTTAGTAAGTTCTTTTTGTCCTGCAGCACCTGCCAGAAGGTGGGATGTGCACACAATTACTTTTATAAATACGGTTACAATATATACCAGAAGATATGGGCTACAAGCTGGACAGCATGCAACCTGACAATCACCATTATATTATATTACAAATAAATCCCATGCATCATCCACCACATTACTTTAGGTGAATTACAAATTAAAATCAACAAAAAAAAAAAAGTAATGTGCAATCATTTTACTTCTGCAATATGACAAACTTCCCAAAAAACAAACTAATTCAATGAGAAAAAAAATTGCAGGACATTTTATCCATCAGAACCAAACCATAGTACAAAAAAAAAAAAAGTAGCTAAAAAAATAAATAAAAATCAAGTCATTCCAATGTGCCTGGCATTGCAATCAAGTTATGAACTAATACTGAAACTATTAATCGAAAAGGCAGATATAAAAAAATAAATATTAGATTAAAAAAAACTTTAACGAAAATTAGAAATGCGCCCGGTTTTGATTTGGTCTTGCCTTTAAAACCAGATCACCATGGCAGCTCACCTTATGTAACGCCTCCACCACTCTCACCACATCATAGAAGATAACGATAGCCTCGCGCTCGCTCAATCGCTTCTCTTTGATGACATAATGCTGCAGGTTGATGAGGTCGGCCGTCTTGTCGCTGAAGTCGTGGGCACAGAGGCAGTCGAGCACCAGACAGATTCGTCTCTTCATCTTCCGCACTTTGTTGGCCTCCATGTCCTCGACAATCTCATAGGATCGGTCCTGAGACAGAAAAGTGAAAGAGATAATGCGTCATAAAAGTTTTGCGCTGACAATAATTGCAGGGACAGCATAAAAGACTTTGCCTCGGCCGACCCAGCAGTGCATTTAACAGTGTCTAACAAAGAAAACGGATACATAACCGCACCATTAAGCTTTTAAATGGCGCGGAGAAGAAAATACTGTGTTTCACGTACAAGATGACGCTAATGGACAGGTGGTACAAAAAGGAAAGCAGCGATTCTCCTGTATGACTCGGCATGTGCAACAGCTTGAATGATAAAAGCCCTCTTTCGGTCACCTGAGACCGGGGTCAAACGAGGGCCACAAATCGATCGGCAGTGTGGTTTGTGTTTGCAATGACTGCGCCTCTGAACACAAGAGGCGATCCATAATTAACTGGCCCACTCTAGAGACAAGCTATAATAAACCAATCAATACTGCAAGCTTCAATGAATGGCCCTGACAGCACAGTACAGCTTGTTCTGCAGACGATTTTCACCAGGGAAGAAAGGAGAGGTCTATGATATAGTTAAAAGCCGACGCAAGAGAGGGAGGGGAAAAAGCATCTCAAAGAGAAAGTAAGTGGTGAGTCACTGCTAGCACTTTGTGATGAAAATGAAAATAACTGAAGGAACAAATTAAGCTGTGAGACTGAGGACATACACAAGGGGAGGGACTATCTTTAGGCGTCTCAAATCGATTCAATTTTGATACAAAGTGTCACAGACAGATTCCAAAACAAGTTGATGCATCAAATTTCAAAAGACAAATCTTTGATGAGTCAAGGCTGATTGTGTACTCTCATCCAACAATAGAAATAGAAAAATAAATAAATAAATAAATAAAATAGAAGAGGTGGTTCAGCTCTGAAAAAAAATGAAATGCACCATTATAGCAAAACATAGTAAATTTTGAGATCAATCAGCATGTTTTCTGTGGATGATCAATTTTCAATTGTGTTATACATTTCGTCCTGTGTAAATGCATGATGCTAAATTGTTTTGTTTTTTCACAATGATTTATAATTAATAAATACTATTTGTGAGGCTCAAAGCAGAACCATTTGAGAAAGAATCATGATGCAATGAATTACTTTTTCCCACTCCGTCCTGATGAACAAGATGCCAAACAATTCCAGCAGCTGCACAAATAATGCATCTTGACAGTTATTAAAAAACTGTAATGACACATTCTACACGAGCTACTCCTAATTGGTCTTACCTGGAAGAGGCCGTGATGGTGAACCACTCCTTCTTGGTTGGAGAGCAGTGACAGTAAAGAATACTCTGTATGCAGGAGCATTTTGCCTTGCCTTTCTTCCTGTGTCTCTCCCACCATGTCCCCACGTTCTTCCAGGGTCAGAATCTACAACAAAGGTCGAAGGTAAGAAGACACCACACCACTAGATCCTGTTCTAAACCTTCCTGGGGGTCTCTTATCTTCAATGTGATGGAATACTAAGCTATCAACGATCTTGAGGCAATACAGAGGGTCCATTAAAGGCTTTATCTTCAGAGAAGACAAAGATAAGTCCCTCACATGTCCTTCAACACATCTGCACAACGATCTGAGAGACACTAGACCAGGGCATGGAAGAGTAGGGTCAAAAGGTTGACAATCACCTTTCAGTCAAGCCCCTCCAGTAACAGGCTGGTTCATAAACAAAAAAGTTTAATGGTCATCTCTGAACCAGAGTTGGTCATCAATTGGACAGGATTGTAGAGATTTGTTGAGGCAGGTCAAAGGTTCATGCAAACAGTTAGACATACAGGGGCTTTTGTGTTCAGAAGCAGTCTCACTTCCCTGGTCAGGACACGTTTGAATCACGTGGGAGGGTTTTTGTGAGGTGATACAGAAGGAGACTGTCAAAAAAAGCAATTTTTGCTGATCTGATCTCCAATAAAGAAAGTGAACCGGGATCCCCAATTAATCAAGATCTTCACAAAGATGTCTGACGGATCATTCACTGAACGAACTTACTGAATCCACAGCAGCTACTGAATAAATAATTACATTTCACTTATACATACACACTACCGTTCAAAAGTTTAGGGTCAGATAATAAAAAAAGGTAAGAAATTGATCAAAAGGGGCAGCAAAAAACTTTAAATAAAATGCAAATAAATGCTGTTTGAACTTTCTATTCATCAAAATGTCCAGAAAGGTTTATTTTAGGGCTGTCACGATGTTAGATTTTTCACACCACGGTTATTGTGGCCAAAATAATTCACGATATCGATATATCGCGATATCTATAGAAACCTTGAAAAATGTTAAATCAGTCAAATTAATTTTTACTTTATTTAATTTTTCTTTTTTGCATTTTTACTTCTTGCGTTCTTATATTTGAATGCACATTTTTTGTGAAGTAAGACAAGCATGTTAAGTATATCTGGTTTCAAACTGGAGCGAAACACTGTCTGAATGTTTCCTGAAGAACTGAAAAGCTCTTAAACCTATTGTTGCGCCGGTGCAAGTCATGCAGATTTGAACAAAACAAATCAAGTGCAAATACAAAAATAAGACGAGTAAAGAAAACGGGGTACTTAATAATCACCCTTTATTTAAACATATGAAAACAAAAACCCACTGTTAACAGGTTAATGTCACATTTCCCATTCCATGACTAGTAAAATAATCGCAATTTACTCTCTGTAAAATAGCGTAATCCGCAGTGTGATGGACACGGAGATGGGTAAAAAGGTTGGTGGCTACACATTCTGCAGATTGGGTTTAAGGGGGTCGCACACCGGACGAGAAGCGCAGCTCCGCGCCGCGTCGCGTGTAGCACACCGGACGCGCACTTTCTCAGTTCATGGCCAGCAATATTGTTATGTTTAAGGACATTATGAAATTAAGATCATGTCTGTACTATGTTATGATTGTACTGTACAATTAAATACAATCGTTGCTAAGTCTGCAGTCTGAACACTTTACCTCAGTCAGAGCGCATCCGTTAACTGAATGATTTGAGAATCTCACCTGAAAATCCGAGCCATTGCTGGGCGTCGCGGACAGACGCCGAATGGTGCCGGCGGTGGTGTGTGTAAACTCCTAGAAAATAATGTGTTCGAATTTTAAAGAATTCTCTGCGCTTCTCGTCCGGTGTGCGACCCCCTTTAAAGTGCTGTTTTCTTTGAAGCCGAAGAACTCCCATACCAGAGTGGCTGCGCGGGCGCGCGCTGCGTCTTCTTCTCATTTGATAGATGTCGCGGGTGCAATACTGCCACCTCAACGGGCGCTGGAGTATACGTGTCATGTTATCATAAAAGTCCTATTCATTTTAAACATCGTGGTTATCGCCAATACCGGTATATTGCCACACTCTAAATTAACACGATGTCGATATTTCACGCTTTGAATATCACGATTATCGTCAATACCGGTATATTGCGACACCCCTAGTTTATTTCAACAAAAATATTAAGCAACTGTTCAACATTGAGAATAAGAAGAAATCACCATATTAGAACAATTTTTGAAGGATCACCTGACCACTCAATGCTAATACCATGTAAACAAGGCCTAAAAGAGTACTCACTTTTAGCTGGTAGAAATCATCCGTCCCATCTTTTCTGGCTAAACACTGCACTATACTCTGCACGGGGGAGTTTCCCAGCCGAGGGCCTGTCGAGATGGGGAGGGATAGAGAAAAGGAGTGTGAAAAGATGCAAAAGGTAGTGTCAGTGCAGAGCACAGCAATCCCCCTTGAAGCCAATCATAAACACTCATTACAGTGCCCTGCACTACCACGTCACACTGCTATTTCCAACTGTGACGGGTGCATTTCAAAGGCAAGACTGCAGTGTGATAGTGACATACAGGGAAAGACCTGCGGATTCAGAAGTGAAGCAGTCAATCCAAAACATTCCTGCAATTCTTTTCAAACACAGGCTTCCGAATGGAGTCATACCTCCTCCTTCTCTTGCTTGAATAGAAACACAAAAAGATAGTGTTGAAGATTCACTTGCATTACCCTAGGTGGCTTACCTAAAACAAAGGGACCGGCTCTCTTAGCATTGTTGCCCGATATCCCAGGACAAAGGAGCTTGCTGGGTCTGCCGGATGACTCTCCGGCCCCTCGTTCCGAAGCACGGCGTTTGGACATTCTGCAGATCTGAAAAGGCCAAAAACATTGAGTCTGCGTCAATACTCAATTGATAAAAACAACCTGACATGCAAACGTGGCTTCTTGACTAAAAACAAAACTCAAGCGCACCAAAACAATGTAACCCTAGGACACTCATCCATTCCATTCTTGCCTTGAGGGCCAATAGCCAACCCAATGAGGTCTTTCAGTACACTGCCAAAAAAGTGTGAGTTATAAAGAGGGCAAATAACAGGTGGGGGAAGGAAATCTAGCAAAAGCCATGCCATCCCTGACACCTCAAATCAGTGAGACGCCATTAACAGCTCTGCCCCTGTATGAATGACAACCCATCAGAGCCACCTGCATTTGCATGAGCAAAGATTAGCAGCAGGTGTGAACTGTTTATGTGACTTCCATAATAGACAATAGAAGCCCATTTACAAATGGTGCCGCAGACCACAACCTGCTCGAGAAAGGCAAACGTTGAGCACCGATGGAGCTCAAATGAACTCAAATAAAGGGGAACTCTGAACTCTGCTGCTGCGATTCATGTTTTCCCCCTTTCACTATTTGTAATCCTTCCGTTCCTTAATCTGCATGGGTTTATCTGCAAATCTCTGTGGCGTAATCTGCATATTACAAGATTTTCATACTGAACGGTCTGTAACAGGGAACATTTCGAAAGCAAAAATGTTCAGAGACCACATGACGAAGTGCAATAATAATGGACAAATATTTATGATAAAGAGTTATTTATTTCAGAGGGCGCCTGCTTGTTTTGTTGTATAAAGGGTTCTTGTATAATCTGATGACTGTTTCTGTGGTCCTACAGAAAGTCAAGTGGTGCTATGGATGGATTTAGTGTGATTCACACAAGCCCTGGGGTTTGCACTGGTAGCAATTTGTCAGAAATATGAAATCCTGCTGTTTGACACCAATGGTAGAATGACACACGCAGCCTCCAGACATCATATCACAATGCGAACAGGGGGTGGGGGAGCGCATTTAGCATCGCGGGCAGTTCTGCACACCTTGGGCTCTTCAAAATCAATCTCAACTCTGTTTAAATTAAGGGACAATACAGAGACTGGACATGAAATCCCAGTAATAAAATATCAATCGATGTGCTCTAATAGTGAATACATGCAAAGCCGAGCTAAAAAGGCACCCACATTTTGAATTTAGAGTTACAACAGACAGTTGTGATTCACATTTACACTATAAGCTTAGTTGAATTGTAATTTTGAATGAAATAGAAATTCAAATGTAATTCTGCAACAGAGCACACAGCTTGTCTCGAGGACGTAGGAGGAGGTACAGTTGGCTGTTATCGCAGATCATTTTACACGTTTACAGCTTTTTGTCTTTCTGGACCCAGACTGTTGACAATGTGACAGACGGGGGTGAGAGACGTGATTGCTTTCTCATCAACTCTTTTGACATGCATTATTGGAGAGCTGACATCTCAAAAACACCAAGACTGAAAATCTGACCTGCAACCTGAAAGGAAAAGAATTAATCTACGGGTTGGTATTAAACCATCTGTAATAATTTTAGGTCATGCCAAACATGAATGTGGTGGAAATTCCCTCACTGACACTAAGATGCACATATGCATACAAAGACACAATATTGAATCCATTTCAGAGCTAGTAAATAAAATTCTCAGGAAGGATGTCAATTACTCACCCTCATGTTGTTTCAAATCCGGATGACGTTCTTCTGTGGAACAAAAAAAGGAGACACTAGACCGTCTCAGTCAACATTCACTTTAATTGAATGGAAAAAAACATAATGAAAATGAATGGTGACCAAGGTTGTCAGTGCCTAATATTCAGCTTAACATCTCCTTTTGTGTTCCACTGAAGAAATAAAATAAAAAAATCATACATGTTTGGAACAACATGACAGTGAGTAAAAGATGACCGAATCTTTTTTTTTTAGGTGAACTGTCCCTTTAACAACAACATGCTGATGATGAAACCATGCTATATGAAAGATTACTCATACTGCATTGCATTCATCAAAATGAATGGATGGAGTGTGGTCATCTTATGGCATTATGCACACATCACAGTCATTGGAGAGGTGAAATATCATCCCTGCATGATTTAAACGCTCTGATCCACGGTGTAGCAGAACATCTTAATATTTTATAAGATCTAAATATACTAGCTGTCACTGCATACAAACTTTAGAACCTGGCACCGGCTGACAGCTTGATGCAACCCGTATCAGATGCGCGTTTTGCACACGTTTTGTTTGATATTTGGATGTCTAAGATTTGTGGTGTGTAATGTTTCCATTAATAGTTAACGTTAAACAACAGCAGAGGGAATAGAATAGCAGAATAGCACTGCAGTGCGATCACAACAAAGTACACGGCGTACACTTACGAACGCTGTCAACCAGCTCCAAGAAAATTAATAACAACAACCACTAGTATAAATGACTTAATGAGTGTGTATAAGAAAACAAAAGATCGTGCACTTATTTAAAATAACGAGCCTATTTGACTCCCCTTAGCATTTGAAAGCGAAACTTGTAATTATTTGTATTCTTGCTTGTATAGTCAATATCTCAACATATTTAACCGGACGACAATTGAATCGTTGCAAAAGCGTGCATTTCAAGACGAAATTAAAAACCACAAAGCCAGTGAGTTCACCGTGTCCTTTTAACAGACTGTGAAAATCTCCTCAACCGACCGACGGGCCATTTAACAACTTACCAAAACCGCCGAGGGAATCCTCTGTCGTAGACTAATTCTCACTCATTTCTGGCCGACTAAATGTTCAGCAGGGACGCACCGACATTTACACTCCACCACAAAGCGGTTTGTTTCACGCGAACTGGAGAAATTTCACGATTACCGACAGAGGTTTTGAGGGAAAAGCCTTCTTAGGACAACTGATCACATCTTTCCATAGCAGCACCACCTGACAACGGAAATGACGCACATGCTGTGAGTGACGGAGCGGCGCAGCCAATAGAAAATGTTCTTTGGAGTTCCCGCCCCCTTACGTGCGTTCTTGAGATTGGCATTCTTCGCTTGGCGTGGAATGATAAACGTACATACTATGTAAACGAGCAGTAGAGTACTACTGCATAACTCTAGTCAAGTTTTGATAAATGTGCAGTTCTTTGGAATAAAATAATAATTTGATCTCACTCAGACACGTATGAAGCAGTAGGCCTATACTAACAAACTAGACCCATTTATTCTTGAGTACTGGAACAAAGCAAGTTACAAAACGGACAGTTTATGTATGTAAGAAATTATTTTAGATTAATATTAACATGCTCAGTCAGAGGCCTATTCATATTTTATGCACTGCAGACAGGTGGTTTTAAAGGTTATGAGTCATAATATAATGCCATTATTTTGCAAAAAATAAAGAAAATCAATCAAATAAAATGTTGCATTTGTGTAGGCTAAAGAACATTCTAGTAATTTTGTTTAATATAAAAGTGGAAATGTTGTCACTTTAAGAAACTGCTAAAGCAGTGGGACGTATCTCAGACATCAGAGCCCTATGGCACATGAATTTCACCCAAGACTAAAGGGTAAATTAATAGATAAATAATAATGTATCTCTGTTCACATGAGCACAGCAAACCTCCGGGGGCTTCTTGCATGCACAAGACCCTCGAGATCGTATCCAATTTTAGATCCCCCAAAACTAAACAGCTGCACCCACAACATTAAGTTTCAATTTAGTGGGTTGGTGCAGCGCTGCATGTCAAACAGAGAGTGTTTTTAAAGGGCAGTAACTGATTTAAGGCTGTGCTGTCTTCCTGTCTTGACTCAGCATGGCCTTTGCCTTAAACCACATGAAACACTTTTATAAGCCTGTGGCTAAACATTGGCCAACCCACGGTGTGTGGGGTGGAAACTGTGAATCATACTTTACTAGTGCCCATGCCTGATAAAGAAAAAGTGGTATTGAAAAAGATTGCAAGGACAATTTCACAAGGACATGAACCTAATGCCTGGACTTAGCGTAATTACCTCTAGTTCTTTACTTTCCTTCATATCTTGTCAAATACTGGAATAACAAAACATTTAAAATGTTAAGAATATAGTTATAAGTGTCATTATTAAAATATTACTCGGCAAAATAACACATTCTGAAGCACATTTTAATTGTGCTTTAATATTATATATATACCATGTATATATTGTGTGAGCCTTCAACCAGTTTCTCAAAATATGATTAATGTATTTTATTTTCACAATATTTACAAGACATTTTGAGTCACTCACTTTTATATCACAAAAATTATACTGAGGTCTGAGATGTCTCCAAATGATTCTTATTTGTTTAAAAAAATATTTCAAATGATTCTTATTTGTCTTATTTTATTTATATTTGTTTGACTAGAATGCACTGAAATATGAAAGCAATTGTTTTTTTTATTAATTCAATACAGATTTATTTAATTTGCTTTATATATTTTGCAAATATATGGAATGATTTAAAGGAATAGTTCACCCCAAAATGAACATTTTGTCATCACTTAACTCACCCCCAAGTTGTTTCAAACCAGAGATTCTTTCTTCTGCTGAACACAAAAGAAGATATTGTAAAGAATGTTTGTAACCAGACAGTTGATGGTAGCCATTGACTTCCATAGTATTTATTTTCCTACTATGGAAGTCAATGGCTATCAACTGTTTGATTACCGACATTCTTTAAAATATCTTCTTTTGTGTTCAGCAGAAGAAAGAAACTCAAACAGGTTTGGAATAACTTGAAGGTGAGTAAGCGATGACACATTTTTGGGTGAACTATACCTTTAAATGAATAAATGAAAGAATGTTTTAAAAAAATATATATAATATCAATAATGTCCAGGAAGATGCAGTGTCCCACAAATGCAGCAGTGCAGAGTCACATCATGTCAAAATATTTTGTGCTGTGGGAGTTTAAAAAAGCACAGGTAATGAAAATCAAAAAGCTCTTTCCCATGGAGGAACAAGTGTGACAGCGATTCATTCATAACTGTGTGGGTGAGAGAGACGTCTCCCACGACTATTCAAATGATTACAGGGGTTTTCAGTATTGCTAGTCTGGAAAAGTCATAACAGATCAAGTGCTTAAACAGCATGTGCCAGAGAGACACTTGCAGAGTTAAGGGGGAAAATGCAACAACAGAGCTTCTTTTCATAATTTTTACATTCTTTTCACATGAAACCACTGTCAGACTGCTGATTCAAAATGCTGTTCTGGGAGTTCAAAATGTTTAAAACTGTGGTGTATTAAACTGCACAAGCTAACAATGAATTGACAACTCCTTTTATTAATTTCTCTAGGTATTCCAAATATATTTGTGATAACTAAAGTGATCTTTCTGCTGTTAGGTCACAACAACAATGCTGAATTATTCTATTGCGCCATCTAGTGTTCACAAAGAAGCCCTAAAATACTCGATTTTGTGTGACTTCAGCTTTTAATTCATGATCTGTTGATTTTTTATTTTGACTTTTTAGGTCTCTTAAAAAATGGTATTTATGCTTTGTTGATATTAATATGTTGTGTAAAAAACAAAAACAATCAATCAATATAAAATAGGAACCTTTATGTTGACCAGTCATTATTTGCAAAAAGATCTACTTTATTTCACATTCAAATCTATTTCAATAAAATGAAACAGTAAACAGGCAAAAATGAACATTCATATACAGTACATTAACTTCAATAAATAAGCTCTATTTTGCTTATGAAAAATATAAACCATTTCATCCACCACACATATTGCATTGCTTTCTTTCCATGGAAGGTGGCTGGTTTCACATATACATTGTCATGTAACATATAATGCAACAATTGTACACTCTAAGACATTTTATTTGAATTTCTTGAAATACCTGACTTTGTTGCGTTCCCTTTGAATAAAGGCAAAAACAAACATACACCAATTGTCCTGGGGCTTCCTGTAAACCAGTTTTAGGATCTGTGCTCAATATTTACCACAAGTGCACTTCGGTTTCCTCCATTACCCTGTCTTAAGCAGCGCATGTTTTGTGGATACATATCCCGCACCTTTCGGTTGCACATCAAATGAATTTAAATGAATTCCATGTGCACAGATTGTCCTCTTAGACAACTAAGATAGTCTAGGAAAGGCGTTTCATTCGGTCCACTGATCTAAATGCCATAGAAGTGTCTGCGGCATCAAAGCCCACACTGCCAGCAGACCCTACTGTGAAGACTGATATCAAACCATTTGCTGAAGTATGTGATGGCATGGAGTGTGCCGCCTCAGTAGGTCCAAACTAACTTCACAGAACGAATATGGAAAAGTAAATATGGTCCCACAGCAAGACGCATATCACATTTCTACACCTGCTATTTGCATTTCTCGCATTTAGTGGGTGGCAGGAGACAAAAATTGCACGAAATTCTCAAAGAAAGAATTTCTCATCGAGCTTAGCCGTTGTTGTGAATATATATGGTTGTCACTGTAGCTCCAGACAAAAGGCCTCTTTGCTGACTGAGTAAAACATTGTAGCACTTTATCCTGTTTTACTGCTCAGTCACTCTCATCAGTCAAAGGGAACACCAAGTTTAAGTCACAGTCCATCCATCATGGCCAGGAGGTCATCACCCTTGCTGCTGGAACTGGGGGAAGGTTCTCCCGTCTCTCCGAACTCTCCCATGATCTTAGCCAGCTCAGCATTGGTCTGTTTGTCCTGAAATGAGCCAGCCAGAGGTATATTGTTACTCCCATGGTCCACTTTGGCAGTTTAAAGTTGACCTAAGACTCAAAAACCAATTAGACAAGCTGAGAGCTTTGTCTCAGTGTGGGTGGATCACTGGTAATCAGGCATTACAATGTTTTCTGAGGCCAAGGATCCCATAGCATTGTGCTGGAACAACCTAAGTGTATTACTTTACAAGCGTACAAACATTAAGCATTACCTTTGTTGCCTGGATATTAATAACTTCATAAGAAAGCTCATCCGGTCTTGATATCAAAGCCTCCCTGTGGGGAAAATCTGTATTTCAATTTTTGTATGAAATCTCATGCAAAAAACAAACAACATCATCTATTTCATTGACATTCCAAGCTGCACTCTCATGTTTGAAACCACAAAACATGTCAAGAACATGGCAGAGTCACATTTTACCCCACAATAAAGAGTAATCAATCATTTATTTGCACTTTTTATACATATGTATATGCTCACCAAGGCTACATCTATTTGATCAAAAACAGTAATTATTTATAAACTGTGAATTATTTTTTACAATTTAAATTATTTTAATACATTTTAAAATATAATTTATTCCTGTGTTGGCAAAGCGGAATTTTCAGCATCATTATTCCAGTCTTCGGTGTGACATGACTCTTCAGAAATCATTCGTATATGCTGCTGCATCGTATATTTGGTGCTCAAGAAAAACTTCTTATTATCAATGTTGAAAACATTTGTGCTGCTTAATATTTTTGTGATATTCTTGAATAGGAAGAATGGGAAGTTTACTTTAATTTACTTGAAATAGAAATCATTTATGAAAATTATTTATAAATCTTCTTCACTTTCACATTTGACCAATTTGATGTAACCTTGCAGAAAAAAAAGTATACATTTCTTTAATAAAAATGTACTGACCCCAAACAATATATATTCCAATAAAGAGGGTCTAATGAGAAACATTATTGAAAATATATATAATTGAAAGCAAGTAAAATGTCTAGACATATTACACTAATGGCATGATTTCGTTTTTATTTTGGGGTGAAATACGACCTCCTAGACATGTTTCATTGAGATGCATCTTTAAATCTATTTGTGACGGTCTAGTCAAATTCAATTTAGACTATAACTCAAATAAAAACTCACTCTTCCTCCTCGTCAGTGGCGAAGAGGTTAACACGGAAGCCAGAGTCAGTGCCGGCTGGATTCTGCACCTCCAGACCTCCCATTAGTCTAGCAAGCAGGTTCAACTCTTCTTTTGCCAAAGGATTCGGAGTTGTGTTGACCTTCAGGATTGTATGAATTCAGTCAAATATGCATGCTAATTACATTACACATTTTTCTGAAAATTGTTTTTCCATTAGTTTTCATGATGTATTTAATGAACCAACATTCTAAAATATTTTAATAAGATTTGAGTATATGAAGAGGATGCGAATTATCATGTCAACTAGGTTATTTAAAGTGCCCCTATTATGCTTGTACTGATATAACCTTTCATGTAGTGTGTAACATAGCTGTTTGTGAATGTAAAAGGTCTGCAAAGTTTCAAAGATCAAAGTACACAAATAAATGGTGCTATTGTCTCCCAAAAGAAAGAATCGATTCTGAACTGCCTGAAACAATTCGTCAGTAATTCCAGTCTTACTTGCCTGCACAAACCTACATAGGTTTGTAACTAATTTTAATAATGCCGCCTAGGATCTTCATTGGCTGCCCGCGGACAATGTCTACTTTGACCCTCAAACACTGTTGTTGTAGCTGAGACTGGAAGAGTTTGGTTACATTTACATTGAATCATTTAGCAGACGCTTTTATCCCAAGCGATTTTGATTACTAAAAACATTAGAAGTAATCAGACCAGCAAGAGGGCAACAGTATATAAGTGCTGTAACAAGTCTCAGTTAGTCTAGTCTAGCACAGAACAAGTTTTTTTTTTTTTTAAATCAGAAAAACAAAACAAATGGTATAGTATAGACCTTATGTAGCCACGCCCCTTTTCAGCGCTGAGCTCATTGTCTTTTGACTTACGGTCTGTATTTTCACAGCGATCTTCGTAGTTATGAATGAACGGCTCGTTAAAAAAATTCCCAAGGTCCATTTGTTAAGACATATGCTTTACAATGCTTATCATAAACATTACAATGCTCATGATAACTTTCGTTAACTCTACAATAAGTAAATCAACTTCACCAGCTTATTACTCCTGGACAGCGATGCCGTAGAAATATAAAGAGCGACCGCAAAAACGGAAGTTCAAAAACAATATTCTAAAGATGGCGGCGCCCTCGTTTCTCTGGTGCATAAGGTCTATAGAATAGAAAAGGAAAGTATCACTGTGTATCAAGCACTAAGGAAGCCTCCGGAGCTGAAATTCAGATATGGTAAGGGTTCATTTCCGACATGTGCTGTAAAGGGTAGACCAATCACAACAGACTGGGCTACCTGACCAATCAGAGCAGGCTCTCAGAAAGGTGAGGTTAAGAGAGACTGAACTGTTTCAGGCACTGTGAGAACAAAGGTGATGATGCAATGTATATTATGAGAAAAAAACGTTTTTTTGACCTTGGATGCATGTAAACCTATTACAGGAGGCCTCAAAAACTAAATTAGGAACCTTTAAAATAGCTTAATAGGGGCACTTTAAAAGAGTACTAAGAAAGTAATTTTTTTTTATCTTACCTTGGTGTGTTGTGAGGAGTTTTTTGAGGTTCCAGACATGTGTGTTTCAACAGGACGGCTCACACTGTACCTGAAAGTAAAAATAGGACAATTGTACAGCTGATGTGCCAGTGATAGGCTACTTGTCACCGGTTTACAGCTAAATTATTCACAAATCAATTAGAGATAACGCTTTGCTGCAGATAAAACTTAACACGGATGAATTACACCCCTGTATCTGAAGATCCACAGAAGGTGTGAGTCATATGATTCCACTTTTGAATATTAGCAGGAGTATTATTAGAAAGTGGTTGATGCTCACATGTTTGTGCCCAGTTTGATGACTCGATCACCATACATTTCAAAAGATCCCTCACGGAGAGCGGTGTTGTAGTTGCCCCCATCGCGGAACTGCATCCTTCTCACCTCCTCACCACTACAGCTAAACATCCTGGGAATCAAACACAGTCATGAAAAAATTATTGATAAATAATAAAATAAATCTAAAATAATTTTAAACAGCATTTCTTATTATAAATGATCTAATTATTTTAGAAAATTTAAAGAAATATTTTATTCATGCCATTTTATGACCTTATATTAATTGAAAGACGTGATGCAATATAAATTGGTGTTGTCAAATCAATTAATCACGATTAATCACATCTAACATAATATATATATATATAAATATAAATAAATTAATCAATTTGATAGCACTAACATATACACACACACATATATATATAAAACGTTACAAATAAATTTCTCCCACCACAGATGACACAAGTAAAAATCGTGCCTAAAACAAATGGTGATCAGTGTCAACACCTGGTCATATTATAAATTCATAAAAATTTTAAGCTAAATCTTGCTGTTGATAAAAATAGTTCACAGACATGCTATATGTCAGCTACCCCTAAGCGCTATTAGAATAACTGCTTTCAGTCACAGTCTAAACACAGAACCTGCTATACTTAGAATAGCTCTCTTATATGTCCAAGTCTCTTGTTAAGTTAATGCAATTAACTATAAACCCTCACCATCAGACTCTGTCGGCTCGAAATGACAGAGGTGATTTCACAAAACTTCAGATAAGCACAACTTCAGTTATAAATTTAGAGGCTATTTATTTATAATGTTTAAACCAAATCAAATCCTGCCGTTCTCAGCCTTTTAATGCCTTGGTCATGTCAATACAGGAATTATTTTATTTATTTTTTTGCTATGGATGTTATCCTATGAAGCTAACCTCATGAGTCCTGGGGCGTGCGTCCCATACGGAACAGGGCCTGATGTGGGGAGGACGAATCGTCCATTGGAGTTCTGTACCTTGTCTTTCAGGAAAATTGATACCTAAAAAACAAGTTCATATATGTTTAAAATATATTTTGACTATTATTATTTGAATATTATGCACCTTCATAAACATGACCAATATTATTGGTAAATTCTCAGATTGGGTTTCCCGGAGTATTCTGTATTCATGTACATAAATCAAAATAAAATAAAAGACTTACTCTTATATGCATATCTTGAAAGAAGATGAGGAGTGTTTGTCTAATTAGTTGAAACTCTCCACCAGATAAAGGGGTATATATCTAAACATTACAAGCAAGAGAATAAAACATTTCAAAGCCAAAATCAGAGTGGAGCTGACAATGATAGCAAAATAATTGCCCAATAATAATAATAAGCATAATAAGAAACTTTCATATTAAATAAAAATATAATATATTATTATTATATACAAAACAATGGAAAATGTATTATAATATTAAATTATAATAATAAATAATATTAATATTAAATTAACCGATATTAACAATGAAAAAAATACTTATTACATTTAATAATTGAAAACAATCTTAAAATGTATAATTCTGAGCAGTAACGCAATTACCTCAACGAGTTGTTTGTTTGTTTCATCCACTTGGCTGAGGATGCTGGGAGTGTCTTTCACAAAGTCCCTGATGGCATCCATATGGTTGAAGGACACAAGGAGGATGTCTTTAGGCCGAGGACACAGCAGGACTTGATACTTGAACGCCATGGTCATCAAGTCATAGAGCTGTGCATGGGAAAAAGCACAACAAAGGAGCCATTACATATTTCAGCATATTACTCACCAGAGGGAGCCATTTATCACTATTATCCTTAATAAAATGTAGTGATATTTATATATAAATTAGAAAATCATTAAATATGAAAGAGAATTTCAAAGCAAAGATCAACATAAAATAATTCCAGTGAGAACTATCTGAATTTCAAAACTAAAAAAAAAAAAAAAAAGTTCATAAGAGCTGATTGGTTTACTGAGAATACAGAGAGTTTTGTAGAAAGTTCTCACTAGGAAAATATGCAACACCAATAAAAATAAAGCAAACAATCTGTTATCAGAATTCAAGAAAAGGACAATGTATCCTTGACTTTAGTTTTCACCTTGTCCATACTAGCTTGGTTGAGTCTCATGATGGAGGCATGAGCCAGTCGGTCAAACACCGTCCTGAGGGCCTTCTTGGAGTACAGCTCTTGTGGCTTGAACAGCTCCTCCAGGAACTTCTTATTGAACATGGTGGTAATGATATCATTCATAACTACCACAACACAAAGACAGAGTTGCAGTGAGTCAAAAGCAATTCTGTGCAAACATGAAGCTGACCACAAAGCCAACACAATGCAGTCTGACTCTGTACTGTAGAAAGCCGTTTTGCCAAGAAAGATAGATCAACAAAAATAATATAAATCAAAATTGGCAGATGTTTTCACAGAGAAGCGAGCTGGAAACTGTCATTACATGTTGACTGAGGAAAACACCAATGCTAGAAACAGATACTGTCAAATGGAGGATTTCATTTATATCTCAGTACTAAAAATAACTGTATAAGCTTCCTGAATCTTTGGGGTTCTTATTCTACAATAGTATATTTCTCACGCGAAAACATTCAAAATATGAAATTACAATTAAAGGGTTAGTTCACCCAAAAATGAAAATGATCCCATAATTTACTCACATTCAAGCCATCCTAGGTACATGCCTTTCGTCTTTCAGCCAAACACAATAGGAGTTATATTAAAAAAAAGATCCTGGGTATTTCAAGAGCCTTTATATATATATAATGGGAGTGAATGATACCTCAGTTTTTGAAGCTCCAAAAAGCACATCCATCCATCATAAAAGTAATCCATACAGCTCCAGGAGGTTGATAAAGGCTTGGTTGAGTCTCATGATGTGTATGTTAAATGTAAAGGCCTTCTGAAGCGAAGCGATGTGTTTTTGTAAAAAAAAAAAATCCATATTTATAGTTTTTTAAACTATAATTACTGGCTTCCGGTAATGGCAGTACGCGAGTCTAGTTCCGGCGGAAGAGCGAAATCTGACGCAATGCATGACGTATTGACGAACGCAGAGGATTAGGGCTGCCCTCGACTAAAGATTTTTCTAGTCAACTATTAGTCGTTCATTTAAGCGAATAGTCGACTAATCGCACGTGTATATTAATAAGAAAAATCATAATAATGAGCCTTTAATTGCCTATATAGGCTATAGCCTAATCAGTGCTCAAGCGCATGCGTAAAGCTTGCCACAGCGCACCGTCAAAAGTAATGATTATGAATGTGTCGTGAAAAAACAGCAGTCTGCATCTATTTGCACGTTTCATAACATAATCTGAGAATATTTGTATTCCATTTGAATCGGTTCATTTAAAAATAGAAATTTCAAGCTTTCGATAGATGTGTTGTACATTTTTATTTTGTAAACAAAACACCAGTCAGGTATTAGAAGTCTAAAACAAGATTTTTTAAAGAGAAATGTCGGAAAAGCTTGAGTTTGTTGCCCAGCGTCTACTCATAACTAAGCTTATGCTACTCCTACATCCAACGTCGGGTCAGAGTTCACTCTTCCACCGGAACTAGACTGGCGTACAGCCGTTACCGGAAGCCAGTGATTATAGTTTATAATATTTTTTCTTACAAAAATGTATAGCTTCGCTTCAGAAGGCCTTTTTTAACCCCCCGGAGTCCCTTGGATTACTTTTATGATCGAGCTGGTTTACTATGGAAGCTTATGTGTAGCAATATTCAATTTGAAATGTAATATGTAAAATGACAATGCAATATGTAAAATGGAAATGCATTTCTGTATTTAAATTAACATTTTCCATTACATTTGTGCAACGTTTGGTGAAAAATGAAAATGATAATTCAATTATATAATTTACATTTGCCATTTCATACATATGTTTTAATATGTAAATTGAATACATATTTTAACGCTTTATAAGTTGCAAAATTAAAATGTATTAAAGAAATTATTAGATCTGTTTAAAATGTTCAAGCAAAAACTGTAGCAAAATGATCATTTAAATGTTATTTTTCTTAATTGCATTTACATTCACAGTTAAGACACTTGCGATTGCATTTTCATTAAATGTCCCGCAATGAATGTAGCAAAATTCAATGTGCAAATTGAAAATGCATTCCGAGCCGATCACGCCCCTGCCCCTGCCCCGCCCCCTCCCTCCCTCCCGCTCGCTCTTGTCAATCACTGTGTGAAGTTGGCCCCGCCCCCACCCAATGCAAAACGTCGGCAAAATTGGCTCAATCGTTTTTACTTCATTTGTGCTGTTACTTTGCTTTATTGTTTGTTCTGCTTCGATTTTTAAGATATTTAAAGAATATTTATAGGTCATTCTGAGGTCACCCAGCCCCCCACATCCTCCAAATAAAATAGTCTCGTTCGTTTGTGCCGGTTGTGCGGCTTCGGTTTTTAAAATATTAGACCAATTATAGACGATGGCATCAAAACCCGTCAGATTCCGTGATGACCCTATATACAGTATTTATAAATATCTGATCAATATGCTTTATAAAATAGAAAAGGGAGATGGTTAAACATCACATGAGACACTTTATTGAACATTACAGTCAGTTATGAAGAAATAAAGAGCGGTCAAATTTTTTGGAAGAGCTGAATTTGACCCATCATATTCTGTGATCTCAGAGTAGGTGCATTTGTAAAGAAAACCTGTAGGATCTCCAACATTATTGGGTAATTATAGTTAATAGTAATAAGAATAAAGTTAAGCATATGTGTATCAGACAATGAGAATATTTAATACAAAACGAAACAATCATTAACAGAGTCCTGCATCAGACAACAACAGCGCAGCATAATGTTGACATCAAACGGGTGATACTGATAAGGCAGAACATTCTCCCACACGGTCCAACAATGCACTGGTATCACCTGCAAACGCGTAATAATCCTCGGAAACACTACAATTTCTCTGTTCACGCTTCCCTTCATCTGCCAGTAAATTTACGCTCGTATCAGCTCTGCCGCCGCCATGTTTCCTTCCAACACCTCAAAATGTTGCCGAGCCCCGCCTTGACGCAGTGATTGACAAGAGCGAGCGGGAGGGAGGGGGCGGGGCAGGGGCGTGATCGGCTCGGAATGCATTTTCAATTTGCACATTGAATTTTGCTACATTCATTGCGGGACATTTAATGAAAATGCAATCGCAAGTGTCTTAACTGAGAGTGTAAATGCAATTAAGAAAAATAACATTTAAATGATCATTTTGCTACAGTTTTTGCTTGAACATTTTAAACAGATCTAAAAATTTCTTTAATAAATTTTCATTTTAATTTCGCAACTTATAAAGCGTTAAAATGTGTATTCAATTTACATATTAAAACATATGTATGAAATGGCAAATGTAAATTATATAATTGAATTATCATTTTCATTTTGCACCAAACGTTGCACAAATGTAATGGAAAATGTAAATTTAAATACAGAAATGCATTGCCATTTTACATATTGCATTGTCATTTTACATATTTAATTATCATTTTGCATATTACATTTCAAATTGAATATTGCTGCACATAAGCTTCCATAGTTTCCCTCCAGACATGCAGGGAAATAACTTTGAAATTAAAGTCCACCTTCTCTCCCCAAGATATTCTTCCCTCTCGCTTTTTATTTAGTCACTATATGTCAGGCTTCCTCTCACTGCAATTTCTCGTATTCAAATGGTCCAAAATGCGGCTGCCCGTTTGCTCACCGGTAGCCGTAAACATGATCATATATAACCCCAATTCTGTGCTCTCTACACTGGCTGCCAGTTCGATATCGAATTGACTTTAAAATCTTAACTTTCACCTACAAAGCTCGTTGTAATCAAGCCCCTAAATATCTCTCTGACTTTGTCACTCACAATCCATCCAGATCACTTAGGTCAAGAGATCAACATCTTCTGTCTGTCCCTCGATCTCGCTTACAATGCAGAGGTGATCGAGCTTTTGCAGTGGTTGGCCCTAAATTGTGGAATAACCTGCCACTACATGTCAGAACTGCTTCTACATTAGCTGGATTTTGCTTAAAAGTCATCTTTTCTCTTGTGCTTTCAATTCTTTGTAATTCTACTGCGTTTCTTTTTCTGCATTTTAATTTTAATTTTTCTATCCATTTTAGCTTTTTGTGTTTTTTCTTTCATGTAGGCCCTACAGCACTTTTAAATGTGCTTTATAAATTAAATAAAATTTGGATATGGGCTTTTATGGGCCTTCAAAATCGAAGGAACCATTCAATCCCATTATAAAGCTAGGATGGCTTGAGGGTGAGTTAAGTACGGGATAATTTTCATTTTTTGGGTGAACTAACCCTTTAAAGTAGCACAAAAAACCCATCTCCCGCTACACAGCAAGTGCCTATAAGAGCCGGCACTACTTTGCTCTATGGCCAGCAGCAAAGCAAGCAGAATGTTAACAATACCTCTTTTTCTGTCCTCCTCTAGCCAATCTGCTACAGTGGCTACAAAGATTGCAAATCAAAAGGACATATTTAAAATTATCCTCTAAGGAAGTTAACTAAGTACCAGGTACGGCATCGGCTACATTTATTGTGTATATAGGCCTATACATCACATGCAAGCAACAAGCAACTTATTCACACTGTTTTGTGACCTCTGTGGCACATTTTGATACCAAAGGCAATGTCGGAAAACAACTACAAATTTCATTATTAATATTTAAGAATGCAAAATGAGAGGAAACCCTGATACAGGAACATAAATTAGACAGGAAACCATGACACTGGCATAAGCTGTTGTTGAGCAAATGTAATTGAGCGACAGTGTTGCATGCAACAGAAAGTAACGCATTTAAAAATAAATAAATAAATCAACTTAAAACATACGTCATTACCTCCAATTATCAAAACTTCTGATTAACATTCTTGATTTTTGCGGGCCGCAAAAAACATGGATATCTATAGTAGCCTATATCTATTGTAAATTGAATAATATTATTTTATTAGTTTAATACACAATATTACTTTTGTAATGTTTTGTCAGAAAAGTGTGACATTATATTTGTTTTCTAATGCAATGACGATCACATTTTTAGGGGCCACTACCACTGCATGTTTCCATGGACAATCTTTTAATTTGCATAATTAAAATGGGTTTTTCCCCCCTTTCATTAAAATTTTACAAGGGATGGCATACCAATGCAAAAATGACATGTTTCCTGCATGTAAGTTAAATGAAGGGATCACTGTATTCAAAAACAGGCTAACTGGCTAATTATGTACAGCAATAGCAGAAGATCCAACAACTACTTTCTTATAGAAAGGTCACAAACGATGATCATAAATACAACGTTTACATCATAACCCGGGACTCCAGAACAGACTTGCTTTATTAACTCCCTGGCATATTAGCTGCCATCTAACGTTACCTTTCTTCGCTTTATCTGCTGGGATATTCTGAGCCCGCAGGCGCTGATCCAGGATGTACAGCATTTCTCCACCCAGATTAATGAAGAGAAGAGGCAACGTTCGCGTCGACATCCCCACTGAAGATGGATAAAGAGCAGCTAGTATCGGTAAGCAATCACTGGCTGTCAATAAAAAGTCGCGACCTGCGCTCTGCGTGTTTGTAGCTGAAGATCCTGCAGAATAATAAGCGTCTGTAAACCCTCTCTCGGTTGCCAGGTCACCGCCAACAACAGCCAATCAGAGGCGCTCGTACTGCTGTGCGATGATGACGCAATACGTCTCTCCATGAAAAGCAGGTAGGCCTAATACAAAAACAATTTTGTAGGGCTACATTTATATAATTTATGCGTTGACGTGAAGTTATATGTATAATTTGTATGGTCGTTTGTGAAGCAAAAAATAAAGATAAAAAGTATTAGAATCAACAGCAACAGTTCAAATTGTAAATAAATGTGAAAATACTGTTGTTTTTTTATTTATTTTTTATTTCATACGAATAGGCGATTGCACTGTACTGTGTTTGAGGTGAATATTAAATATGAGACAGCTCCTGTACAGTAACATTAATGCTGCAGGTTGGCACATTTTAAGCATTATAGCAAATTTGTCACCACGTACAATGTATTAATGAATATTGCAAGCATTCACACAATATTAAATTCACTCATATTCAAGACTTAACTCCAATAATATATTGTAACACAATTTACTTTGCTTATCAAGTAAACAGAATTGGTCACCTTTTTTATTTCCAAAAAAATGTTTTTATGGATTCTATCATTGTTTTAATTATCCTGCCTCATAGGATGATTTGGTGATTTGGATATGACTTGAATGCTTTCAAAAATATAAAATAATTTGAAAACTGAAACAGTAATGACAGTCACTAGGTCTCTCCATTCCTGATACGAATTTCTCTGGTCATTCGACATGTTTCAAATATTCCACAGCAACAGGTCATCAAAGCATCATTGCATATTGTGCCCTGCAGGGAAAAAATAAAATAAAGAATGGCCGTTGAGTAACACATACAAGTGGACAGAAATAAATCCATGGATAAGAATTCTTATGTGGGAAATCTGATCCTTAATCTTCAGCATACCTGTATTCCATAGGTTAGACGCATGTGTGTCCTCATTGCAGCCATTCCTCCAGGTACACATGAGAGACATACATTCTCACCATACTTGTGTGCTGTGTAACAGCTGAGGGCTATTGGACAGACACAGCCAAGAGCACCTAGACAATGAAAAGAAAGAAAAAAGCAGACAATTGCTCAAAGATCATGCATTTTGTTAACAATGTGCCACTGATAAAAGCAGTAAAGTGACTAACACAGAGTTCTCATTGGCTAAATATTAAACCACCTAAAATATACCAATAAAATCTTTAGTTTGAATATAATTTGGATGGTTTGCCAGCTGATCTCAAAACTTACAGACAAGTAGGTCACTGCAGCAAGAACAAAGACCAGTGCTCCACTCTCCAGTCTGCACATTTGTACCATAAGAGCCAGCACCAGGCTGAGTGATGACTGGGTTTGACATGTCAATCAAAACGAGCAGTCCAGCAAGGAAGCCGAGAGAATGGCTCGAGATGTTTTCTTCCTAGGTAATTTGTAAAAAGAGTGACTAAATTATATCCATCAATTCTTAGGAAAAAAAAAAATACTAATTACCACTTCCTAATTACGAAATAAACACCATTTTAGAAAGAAAAATATTGACTTCATATAATTTTCCATTTAATTTTTGAGCGATTTGTGCTATTAAAAGGATAGTTCACCCCAAAATGAAATTCCTGTCATTATTTACTCACCCTCATGTCATTCCAAATTTGTATGATGATATTTCTTTTGTGTGACATGAGAAGATATTTATAAAAAATACTTATGTTCTTTCTTTTTTGTCAATACAATGAAATGCTATTTTGAACCCCATTGACTTCCATTGTATGGGCAAAAACAATTGAAAAGCTTCTCAAAATATCATCTTTTGTGTTGCACTGAAAAGTCATAAAGGATGGTTGAGGGTTAGTAAATGATAAAAGTCTGATATAAGTCTTATAGGTTTGGAGATGAGGGTGAACGATCATTTAACACTGTTTTACAGGATATAATATTTTACATTCAAACACACACATTTTGATACGCAAGAAATGACTATAGAAAGCAAATAAATCTGGACCAGCTCTTATTACACTGCTAAATTTGTACATTTTTCATCTATATCCCACCAATATTAAACAAATAAAATGAAATAATTTATATAATTAGAAACAAATAGCTTTGAGTTTAAGGCTATAAAATTATTTTAATTTTAAATCGATAAAAAAAGTTCTATAATATAAAGCAAGTTGTAGACTACAAAAAAGTACCTCGTGTTCTTCTGAGCCTCTTGATCAGCTTGCAGCTGAAAAGGAAGTTGTGACACAAACCAACACACCACGCTTGCTACTCTCGTATGCATCGTTTCCGATTCACGCATATAAGCTTTACACAAAGCAGATCACAGGGGGAGGTCTGAGTTGTAATAGGAAATGTGACCAACAAGAATTCTTTACAATCAATGGATAATCTCACACGAGTAAAGCATTGATAGTTTGACCTCAGATCATGTACCTGATCAGTGTCATGCATTTCTTGTAAAATTATAGAGTTCAGGGAACTGAGAGGAGCCAAACCATTTGCACTAGCCACACAACCACAATGCATCAGTCTTGCATATGACACAGGTCTTCATCAGCTGCTGATCCAAAACTCTTGAGTGTGCGAAACTAACATGTCAAAGGATTTCTATGAAGTTATTCTGATATAATCATCAGTACTTTGAGGAATGATAACCAAACAATACATTTTAAGATCTTTTATTTGGTGCAGCTAGAATAGACTTCAGAGGAATTTGTATGTTTTACCATTGAGAAATAAATGACAGCATACAGATAATTTGATGCCAATCATGTTTCTGTTTGGTTTTTCTTTGAACGTCACATGAACCAAAAGAGGACATATCAGATTGTTCTTCTGAACTTGTCAGCACACAGTTCATGGCCGGCTGAAGGTCTCTACACTGCAGTTCTTTGTGGTTATTTGGAGGACGTTAGCTCCTTTTCTTTAGCCTCCGTTGCTTTTTGTTTCTCTCTCTGCTCTGCTTTTTGTTTCTGGACCTCTTTAAAGACCTGAGAGGAAGAAAACCACAGGTCAAACACAAACCCTGAACTCTACAAAGAACATTGGGACATTTTAGTAAGAGCTGAGAACTTACCTTATTGCAGAAGGCCTTTTTGGCAAGCCAACGTCGGGTGACCCGCCGATAGAATTCAGGAGGGAATGTGTACGTGATTCCGAGCTCTTGACACACCTTCACAAAGGATTCATAACGGGTTCTTCTCAGAAACTTCAACTTTTTCTTCCTGCTGTCGATGGTCATGAGCATCCATCTTTTGTTGGCTTTATCCTAATGTAATATGACAAAAGAGGTTTTGATGATGTTGTACACTAATTTCACTTATTTGCTGCATCCTAATTCGCCTACTCATACTATGCTTTAAAAGTATGTACTGTTTTTGTAAATGACCAAACATATCTTTTCACAATGTTGTTGCAGATGAAATATAATGTTGAATAAATATCTTTTCATTAGGTTAGATACTGATTATTAATCCCCTTTATCTAAAGCTCTCTACTTAACTTCTCGCATATCCGCCATGTTTGTAGTTTTAAGCACTTTTTATTCGTGTTTGTAGTTCTAATCGAATCCTTGTCCAATGCGCAATGGGCAATATTAGCCATTAGAGTGTGCAAGATCTGCACTTCAGATTCAAACCGGAATTAGAAGACTATCCAGGTATCTTCGGAATACTCATTTCAACACACTACGATTTGGGACAAACTAATTCTAATTTCGAATACTATTTAGGACGGATAGTATGCGAATTGGGATGCATCAATTGTTTCCACATTTTCTTAAAGGCATAGTTCACCCAAAATGAAAATTCTGTCATTAATTACTCACCCTCATGTTGTTCCAAACCAATAATTAAGACTTTCGTTCATCTTTGGAGCTCAAATAAAGATATTTTTAATATTCTCTTATTGTTTGTCGATCCATTGAAAGTCCACACAACCAACATTTTCATGAATCAAACAGTTTAATGCAAGTCTTCTGAACGTATTAAAATATATTAAATATATAAAAAATATCTTCATTTGTACTTTGAAGATGAACAAACGTATTAAGGGTTTGGAACAACATGAAGGTGAGTAAATGATGAGAGAACTTCCATTTTTGGGTGAACTAACGCTTTAAATAACAGAACTAGGTACAGAAAACTATGCTTAATTATATAAATGTTTAAAATGATTAGAAACTAGCATATAAAATAATTCATACATATGTACATATCATCAAATCAAGTGACATCAGACGAAAATTATTCTAGAGTTTCTCCCACAACTAACTTCCTTATTTCAGGCTTTTTTGCAATAACGTTTAACCACCCAGTAAAAAGTAGATTTTTTTCCAGAGGTATGAAGTAATTTCCTCTCAAGTCCACAGTTAAACCACAGGGGCAGTTCATCACTTTAACTAAGAACATTTTCACTAAAAATAGACAATCAGAAAGAGTCCAAATCATTTTTATCTTTATAAAAAAAACTTTAAACCAACAAAAAAGCTGTTGTGCAGCTTAATAATTTTGTGGAAACTGTGAAACCCATTTAAGGATTCTTTGATGAATAAAAGATTCAAAAGCATTTATTTGAAAGATATATTTTTTGTAACAATATATATCAATATATATTTAGAACAATAAAAATGAATGAATGAATGAATGAACAGTTTTTTCATTCATTCATTCATTGTTATTGTTCTAAATATATATTGATATATATTGTTCCAAAAAATATATCTTTCAAATAAAGTAAAAAATATATATCTTTAGAACAATAACAAGTATTTAATGTAACTTTTGAACAATTTAATGTATCCTTGCTAAATAAATGTATTCATTTCATCCCAAACTTTCAAATGGTAGTGTATATGGTTTCATTACTACTGAACACATGAGCGTATGCACAGGATTTCCTGTTTCTCTGTGGGTGTTAATCAAATGGAGTGGGAACAAATGTTCTGACACCTTTACTGAAGGCTGAAAAAAAGTCACGCTACTGAAGCTTTTTGTTTACCTTGGGGTGTTTGTGCAAGTGCTCCTGGAAGTTGCGAATACGCGCTGTCATAATCGCCACTGTAACGCAAACAAGGACATTTCGCATGATTGAGTCATGTTCTGAGATTCCAGTTTGGTTAAAGCAGTGGCTTAGTCAAGTGTTTAAAGAAAGAAAAAAAGAGAACTTGCCCTTGACTTCTGTTGAGCTGCGGTCATTCTCATCCCTCTGAACCTTGGCAATGAGCTGTTCCTCTTTCAAACGCAGTTTTTCACTCTAAAGAAAGACATATATATATATATAGACGCACAGATATTTGAGTTAAAATTTGATTCAACACCCTTTTATAGTTCCTTGTAGTCCCACTCCATAATATTTTTAAATTGGAAAATATTCAATAAAGAACTAAAAGGAAATAAAAACCCGCACATGATTTGCAAACTCCAGCGTAAGCAGTTTCTTCACCACATCGTCAACCCTGCAAAGATATGACATAATACTGCAACCGTTCTGCATTCAAGAACATAAAGGTAGTCTGAAGTAATCATGTACTTTTTATACATGCAATCATATACAATGTATAATAAATATACAATCATAGTGTTTATACAATAATGAGCGGATTAATGCAACAATGGAGAGTACAAAAAAAAAACGTACGATTGTGCAAGTGGGACAGATGCATATTCATGCTTCAGCATGGATGGATGCAGGTCTTGAAGCTGACTTGGGAATTCTGGGAAGAAAATAAAGCAAAGAGCCAATGACTCCTATCAAAACTGATATCAAACTGGCAGGCTATATAATTGACTTGCATAATTTAATTTAAATTCAAGGCCCGTCAATATTAAAGGGTTAGTTCACCCCAAAATGAAAATTCTGTCAGTAATTACTCACCCTGATGTTGTTCCAACCCCGTAAGACTTTCGTTCGTCTTCGGAACACAAATTAAGATATTTTTGATTAAATCTGAGATAGTTAGGCCTCGAGATAGTTCACGTAGTGTAACTGCGCAGCGCTTCTGTGTTGTATGCCACACGTAGGCCCACTATTGGCCGATGCTGGTCATGTGTGTGATGCGTGTGGTGTGACGTATAACCTAGAAGCGCTGCGCAGTTACACTACATGAACTATCTCGAGGCCCACAGAGAAGGAAATGAATAGTTGAATAAAGTAGTTATTTTTGTTTGTTTTTTGCGCACAAAAAGTATTCTCGTCACTTGATAAACTTAAGATTGAGCCACTGTAGTCACTCGGACTATTTTAACGATGTCTTTAATAACTTTTGGGCCGGCCAGTTTCGATCCCTTAGAAGCCTATGGAAGAATGATCCAGCTCTCAGATTTAATCAAAAATATCTTAATTAGTGTTCCGAAGATGAACGAAAGTCTTACGGGGTTGCAACAACATGAGGGTGAGTAATTACTGACAGAATTTTCATTTTGGGGTGAACTAACCCTTTAAGGTCCATTCACACTAAGAACGATAACTATATTATTGTCCATACCAACGCACAATGTCTTACTGTTTATTATAGGCATGCACTGCAGTTTTGTCGTCTGCCACTTTAAATGCTCGAGCTCTTAAAGCAGGATGGATTCTGATTGGCTGTGTGTTTTTGTTGTTCATCAGCTCAAAAACATTTTTCTGAAAGTGATTCCAACAATATAGTTCCTCTTTGCAGTTCTTATTATAATTGTGGTGTTGACTCTGCTATTCTTTTATATTTAGATTTTTTTTTTTAGAACGATATCTTTACTGCCCGCGTTATAGTTATCGTCCTTGGTGTGTCTGGGCCTTTACACTTGGGGCCAGATTTACTAAACGACAAATTAGTGTGGAGCCACAATCTAATAAAAGTGTCAATGGTAGAGGAAAGTTCTGCGGGTGATCTACTGAGAATGCGGCAATTCACAGTGTCATGTCAGGTGCAAAATCGGTAAAGACATGCTTTTGGGCCTGAAATAATGGCGCAAATACCACTAGATTGACAAAATAAATATAGTTCCATGAATCACTTAAATACTCTCCTACAATTGCATATGAAATAAGGTCAGGCGTAAAAACAACTGTGACCACGCCTTTTCAACGCTCATTTCTCATTTCAACACTGCATGTCTTTAGTAAGAGTAAGAGGGTTTGCGCTGGCGCAAGCTGTTAGTAAATCTGGGTTTTGGCACAATTGTTTTCTCTTACCTTGTTTCTTTCTAGAGGGCCGAGCATACTGCCTCACTGGTTGGTTTGGAAGCGTTTCATCACCTGAAACAAACCGTAAAGTCATATATATTGCCTAAGTCAATTTAAAATTGCTTACTAAAAAAAATGTATAATGCACAATTGCAGAAACTACAGATTTCTTTAAAAAAAAACATGTAGGAGAAGACTGTTTTTATTTGGTTTTGGTGTCTGTTGTATCACTTCAAGTCTACTTTAATGATTGTAAGTATTCATGATGCAAACCCCTTTAATTAGGAGGCATTTCAAAGCATTTGTAAGTCACAAATCTTTTTACTCTCCTCTGAAGCTCAAGAAAGACTATTTGAGACACGTCAATGGTGATAAAGTGTCACTTAGGGTGGGGGTGATTTGGTTGGCCACATCCTTCCCGCACACCCACTCAAGGAAAAGACACGTCTGTGAGACTGTCATGAAAAAGAGCCGTCATCACAGCCAGGTAACTTGAGACAAATTTGTAAAGTGTTTTTACGCCATTTACTTTGAGCTGTTGCATTGTCATATCATTTAACTTTAGAATGTCAAACACTGGATACTGGGCGCAAAATTTTACATTTAATTAAGATTTTAAGCAAATAAATTTGAGGTTAACCTGAAAAAAGGTTTCAAAAATAAAAATTCTGTCATCATTTACTCACCCTTAAGTCGTTAAAACCTGGATGACTTTCTTCTGTGGAACACAAATGAAGATATTTTTGTAGAATGTTGGTAACCAAACTGTTTTGGTTACCATTGAAAAAAAGTCATACAGGTTTGGAACAACAAATCTTACTTGGTGAGTAAATAACAGAATCTTCATTTTTTGGGGGGGTGGGAGGAGTTGGGTAAACTATCCCATTAAGCATCGTACTGGTTATCTGAAGGAAATGTGCCAAAGATGGCTAAACCAGTGACCTAGTTATTTCTGATTACTTAGTAAAAGACTTCCAGAAAACTGGTAGGCATTTTGCTGATGCTTAAGACATCTCTGTTGTATTACTATGCAAATGTGAGCATTTGAGAAAATCGTAAAAGTATGGCTTTACAAATAAGCCATACATTTTCTTTTTAAATAACCTATACACCCACTCTTTCATAGTTCACAAGCCTTGCGGGAACTAGTAATTCAACTCTTTTCCCCCACACATTATTTTTTTGCCCCAAGAAAACATGAGCAAGAACAGAGCTGCAAATAAAAAAGTAAGGGCGTCTCGTAAGGCTCAGGTCGGAAGGTTGCCAGTTTGACAGCAACACAAAACGGGCCATGAACAACTTACCACCACATTCTGAGGGACTGTCCCTGTACTACAAGCTGCTTTGATAAAAGCATCTGATTAATAACTTACAACAACCGTTCCAAAGTTTGGGGTCGTTAAGAATTTACTCATGTAAGAAGCCTCTTATGCTCAAGGCTGCATTTATTTGATCAAAAATAAAGTAGAAAAAGTAATACTGTAAAATATTATTACAGTTTTAAATTACTTTTTATTTTAATATATTTTAAAATGTAATTTAAAATCATTCCTGATCAAAGCTGAATTTTCAGCATCATTACTCCGGTCTTCAGTGTCACATGATCCTTCAGAAATCATTCTAATTATATGGTTTGAATGGTGCTCAAGAAACATTTCGTATTATCAATGGAATAGAATTTTTTTATTGTGTAAAAATATCTATCTCTGTAACATGATGTACGTTCAAATCACAGGAGGAGAAGAAAAATGTATGAAACATCACTCCTTAGTGACCCCTGTTTACTCCAGAGGGACTTTCCCTGTAGTAAGCGTACTGTCAGACACTTTGAATAAGAAAGCATCAGCAAAAGGACAATTAATAGTAACAACCTACAACGGATAGGCCTACATAGATCACAATCTATAGTATGGCTACTTCATAACCTGTCTGGCATCCTACACAATATGCTGCCTTAAAGTATGTACAGTAAAGTGTACAGTATGTAATCTTTTTGAGACAAGAACTACCAGTACCTAAGTCAGCAAATAAGTACTAGCACTTAACCATGGTTGTAACGGTATGAGATTTTTACGGTATGATAACCATCTCAAAAAATATCACAGTTTCACAGTATTAAAGCTGCAGTCCGTAGTTTTTCCTCTTTGTCGCCATCTCTGTTTCGAAATCTGCAATTGCAGTCATTCGCAGAATTATCAACTTTACGTGGGTTTGTGCCTCGGCACGGCACAGCGCGGATGAATCCAATGTTTTGAGGAGAATGTGCGGCTGTCAGTCGCCGCGCCGGTGTGGATACTGTCATTCGGATTCACAGATTTTACTTTTTGGAAGTATGACCAACATAATAATTTTCACCGGAAAATGTCATCTGAACAAGTAAGTAACATCCACTTTTGTTCTGACCAACTAAGGGGAAAAAAGCATTGCAGTAAATCGCAATGATTAAATCTAACGGTTGCTTATCATATCACGTCAAACCATGCAAATTATACTTTATTCTCAAATTGTTAATGTTAACAATATCAGCATTGCGTGACTGAGGGCTGGGCGATAAATCGATTAACTCGAATGTGTAGTTTACGCCGATTTTTTTTAATGAAAATCGGTTTTCTCTTTAACAACCGCAGACGCGCCCATCTGGGCTCCCGTAGTTCCGACCGGGCTCAGCGCTTGCCATGATAGAGATACACAAAACAACATGGCAAATGATCAAGACCGCGGCAGCAGAAGCACACCCGCCGAAAACATTTACAAACTGAATCTGCAGGGCTGTCAACTCTCACGAGTTCACTGTGAGAGACGCAATTGTCGCTTTTTGCACGCTCTCACGCACACATCCATTTTCTCACGCAGAGAAAAATCGCGCAGCAAAGAGCACACTGACACCGACAGACTAGACAGAGCAGGTTACTATTGATATGAAACAGATTCTCAGCTCTCAGATTCTGTCAATTTTATTACGAAATTCAAGCGTTTTGGCGCTTGTAAATGTGACGTGAAAGATTGCTGACAGATCTCAGTTCAAGGGGCACGTGAGCCGATCATCTGTTACTCTTCACTACTAACTTACCGAAATGTAATAAAATTGATCGATCAGTGTTTTTCAACCGCGGAAAGATGTCCATAAAACAGCTGGAGAACAACATGTCACGTAACATTACATTTACCTCAGGAATGCCTTTTAATTGCCATAGCACGCATGTTAGTTGGACTTAAAATAATTGCTATAGAGAGGAGTATTTAGCTAAATATGATAACTATATTACACATTTATTATATTTTTACCTATATCATTAAAATATTATAACGTTGTTTGTTATTATAAAAACACATTTAATTTGAGTTAGTTTTAAACTTTAATAATACCAGCTGACAGGGTCTCTCTGTATGTTTACAGCATTAGGTGATTTATTTTTGGAGAACAATTAACATAACACATTAAGGTAGGCTATCTACTGTACCTAATATTTACCCAAAGGAATTGATATTGAATCAGTATCCGAATCAAATCACAAGAATTGAATTGAAATTGTGAAATTTGTGTTAAGCAATAATAAAAACAGTAGCATACCAGTCTTTGTACCATGTAAACATTGTGTTTACATAGTTAATAAACTTGATAAAATTATGTTTAGTTACCAAATAATTTTTTTTACACGTCCCCCCAATCCCAATCCACCCATTTAATGTTATGTTATGTTACATTTACACTATTTACAATGACAGGGCCTGCCCTGTCTTTTTGGCTTGATGTTTCTGATTGCACTTTAATCCAGATAATATCCCAGAAGGGAATATCAAAACAAAATAAAGTTAAAACTTGTTTTGAACAATTTCTTTGTCATCTACAGATTGATTTTAAGTAGGGAGAGAAAAAAATCGATTTAAATCGTAAATCGGATTTTTTGTGAAAAAAATCGGGGATTTTTTTTTAGGCCATATCGCCCAGCCCTAGCGTGACTACATTTAATGCCCTTCCGATATTATCCTTGTTTTCGCATGGGTCTGGTTGCAGTCTCTTTTTTCTGTAGCCACTCCGAAGTCTTTCGCATTTTACATCGGGTGACTCTCCAGTTGTCACTGGTGATTGTCATTTGAACCTTTCTGAATCCGCCATCAAATTGATAAGTTTAATTATATCAACTATCAAGTGCTGTGAGAAAAGGCTATAAATCTCCACCTCCAACATCCTCACTCTCAATATAGCTTATACTAGCCGAGACTCCTTCTTTATGTGTACAGATGTGAAGTAATGACCCAAAGACAAAGAATTTCCCACGGAAATCCACCAGTACCACTGGAATTAAAAACATTATTACAAGCATACCGTTTTGAATTAAGCTAAGGCAATCAGATAGTTTTGAACACTGGCTGGTTATGTATTTGCTCAAAAATTTATATTGGATCATTTTTAACCCCAAAAAAGCTACGGACTCCAGCTTTAAGAAAAGAGAAACAGTTGTTTTAGTAGCAGATTGTGATAATATTAATGTGGGGGAGGATTCAAACCTTAACTCAGAAAGCAAATTTACACCAGCCCCCCTAAGAAGTCTGCAACATCAAATTAGACCCACAACCATTAATTTTCACACATTGCTGGGACTTGACAATTGACACTTAGTCATATCGGTACTCGCAGGCACATACATGACCATCTTTTTCTCTTTTTCTCACCTCACTATCTTTGTCTTAGTCACCATTTTATTGTATTAACCCTCTGGTGGTCTTCAGTCATTTCAAAAAAAAAAAAAAAAATGTTTAGAAATTTTAAAATGTTTCACTTCATTGAATGTTATGAGGCCTAAGATCCTGCGACCGGGCTCTGCTGCTAGTCCCTCGCTTTAGACTCAAGCGTAGAGGGGAGCGTGCATTTGCGGTGGCAGGGCCACGACTCTGAAACTCTTGAGATTAGAACGGCCCATTATCTGTCTGCTTTCAAGTCTCTTTTAAGAAACCTACCTGTTCTCTTTAGAATATTGATTTTTTTTTTCCGGTTGGTTTTACTAATTTATATTTGAGTCTGATACTGTTTTGCTACTCCTGTTTTATGGTTACTCTTAGCTATGTTGCTCTTATTTTTTGTTTTGTTTATTGTTATGCATGTTATATCTTCTTTTAATCTTGTTGTTCTGTAAAGCACTTTGGTCAGCCAAGTGGCTGTTGTAAATGTGCTATATAAATAAAATTGAACTTGAACTTATGACACTTGGTGACTTTTGTGACACCTGCTATGTGAACAGTCAACACACAGAGCAAAAATGGACATGATTTGAATTGAAAAGGCTATTTGGTTGTAAAAAAATAGTCACACTTATGTTCTTCACAGTCAACATTGTCCGCCATAAGAAATTAATAGGGAATACGAAACTACATAGAAAGATTCAAAACAGTCTTTGACAAGGTCTAAATGTCTGAATCCAAATGCAAAACCTAATAAGGGTAGGTAATTATGTCTAAAAACACTGTCAGGAACTAGGGATTGCACAACCCTGTATATATACACTGATAAGCCAAAACATATTGACCAGTCACAGATAAAGTTAATATCATTGATCATCTCGTGACAAGGCCACATATTAAGGTCTGGGTAGATTAGATAGCAAACAATCAGTTCTCGTAATCAACGTGTTGGATGCAGGAGAAATGGGAAGGAATAAAGTGACTTTGACAAGGGCCAAATTATTATCGCAAAGCGACTGAGTCAGAGTATCTCTGAAATGGCAAGGCTTGTGGGTTGCTCCCAGTCAGCACAGCAGTGAAGAGAATTTACCAACAGTGGTCCGAGGGGGGACAAACCGGCGACATGTCCTCCAAGGCTCATTGATGCACAAGGGCAACGAAGGCTATCCCGTCTGGTCCGAGCCAACAGAAGGTGGCACAAGTCACAAAATTTTAATGACTGTTATAGGAGAAATGTGTTACAACACATGCTGCGTATGGGGATGAGTAGCCGCAGACCAATCAGAGTGCCTATGACCAGTCTTCTGTTGAAAGCACCAACAATAGGCAAACGAGTGACGCAATTGGACCAATGGAAGAAGGTTGCTTGGTCCAATGAGTCGTTTTCTTTTACATCACGTGGTAAAATAATATTTTTAAAAAATACATTGAACAAAAATATAATATTCATTTGATTAAAAAAAGAAAAGAAAACGTTACTGTTATAGTCTTCTGGTTTTTTTTACTGCCGATGACCACCAGTGTGACCCTCAAGAGAGGTGGCTTGCTTTATTTATTTATTTATAAATAGTGATATATCACAAGCCACAGTCACAAATAGTATATAAAAAGTGATTATATGAGTTAGTAAAGTAAAATTAGCCTTTTCCAAATAACAAGGATTGCTATTTGCAACGATGAAGCAAACTGAAAATAGGTATTATAGGATACAGATCTAGATCTTAAAAGTATGTGGACTTGACTAAACATCAAGGTCATATTGAACAAAACGCTAACGATGTGATGCCCATTTAATAAGAAAATGCAGTGACTGAGATTTTAGAGCCCCCTAGAGGTTAATACTCTAACTGCATATGCTGTCAATAAAACGTTTCTAAACCAAAATGTACAAAATCAAACATACAACCATAGTAACTGACACCCAGCCTGGCTAACATAAAGAAAACTCCACCTCAAAGTGGCACGAAATGCTTAATAATGTGTCCAACTTAAAAAATAAAAAACGGATAAATTGATTACCAATCGATATCTAAATTATTGTAACAGTCTCTCAAGTGTTTGTGAATGCATATATGACAGCATGTTGAAGCCGTGCATTAGTCGTTGACTCGGATCTCTGATGTCAAAAACATACTTACCTTTAAAATTAACGTTACGGGTTAACGTCCAGTTCGAAAAAGAGCTGCATGTAGACTGCCTGAGGGCAGCGGGTACGGCAATACTGGCCTGCCTCGCGCCTGAGAATACACTCCATGTCTGTAAACCCAACGCCGTAGTTCGAAAAACATTTTTTAAAACCATTATGATTCCCGTATATACAAACAAATCGACTTAAGTTTGTATATGCTCTTGCAGAACGCATTTGCCCCTTCAGTTCAAGTAAGTCGCCATCTTTAAACAGACATTAGTAATCTACGCAGAAAATGTAATGTAAATAAAAGCAATCGAGCGACGATTGAATCGATGTAGCCTTTGTTTCCTTCCTATGACATTGCATTGTGAACATCTTATGAAGATACGTTTTGTTTATGACATAAAAAAGAGAATAGAACAACGATTGTACTGTTCTATCATTATCTACTATTATCTGGCCTTCTGTCATTTGAAGGCCATGCATGACACCCCACTTGTCTTTCAGAGATCATTCACAGAAGTTAAAATAGTGATCATTTTTCAACCTTATAATGTTCTGTTGTAATTTCCTTTTTTGCTGTATATTGCCTTTTCAAAATCTATTTAAGAAGTCTATTCTATATAACTTTAACTTTGTTCACATTTCTGAAGATCATCGTTTGGATAGTAAATTTGTTTGTAAGGTTTCTGAGGTAATTTGACCCTATAGCAAAAATACATTATAGATAGATATGATGGAGGCTTTATCATGACAATATGATAGCAGATAGCACACGTACGTCTGCAAGATGTCAGTTAAAGATCACTTCATCTGGAAAGCATTCTGTTTACTAACATCTGATAGGCGTATTTAAGATTTCAGTTTTACATTCTAAATCATAAACATCTTGAAGACCTTTTCTGAACATCTATTTGACATCTGACAGGAAACGTCCTATAGACGCATTGCAGATGAGCAAACATTCTAAAAAAATACGTCTTACAGATGTAAACACGCACATCAACATCTGTCTGTCTCAACAACATTAGTCCATTTTTGAACAACAAATCTTTGGCAGAAGCCAAAAATTTCAGGAAAACAAACTTGTGATTTCCTTAGCCAAAATAAGCAATCAATATGCAGTCCAGTGTAATTATTCTAATGATTTTATTATAATATGATATGTCAGCACAAATGAAGCCTATATGGGATATTATATCTCATCATCAGCCGCCCTCTTGTGGTGTAAAACAGTTTCATGTCACAAATTTCATGTCACAAAACGGCATAAGTGATATCAAATCACATTATATCAAGACCTGAAGAGTTGTTCTAATAAAGTTCAGTTGACCTTTAATCACAAGTCAAACCATCCTGTGCCTTTTTAATGATATAGGCCTATGTTTTGATGTCATTAATGTCAGTTTTTGGAAGGTTAAAAGATCTGTCTGGCACATGTTATCTCAATTTAACCCACAGCCTTGAGAACATTTTGGCATTGGAGATATGATAATACAATTAAGATAATGATGAATGTTTTTGGAAAACTTTCTCAAATCCTTCCAAACATGGGTGCCTATATGTTTTTAAAGGCCTTAAGGACTTCAAGTGCACTTAATAATTTGTATGGATATAGATGCCTTAAAAAACTAACAAGATTGACATTTAGCTTTGCTCAAGGATAGACTACATGTTTACTGTACAAAATCTTGGTAACAGTTTAAGATCCCAGACTGACGAACAAGATAGAGTGAAAAAATAGGAAATGTTTTATGCCTATAAATAAAAAAAATATCATAATGACATTATCTTATAAGATAATGTCATTATGATACTTTTTTTATTTATGGAATTGTTGATCATTTTAATAACATGGAGTTATGATGATAACATGGAGACAACAATAATTAAAATATAATAAAATTAAATGGAATATGATGAATTGTTTTGTTTTTATCAAAACGTGCATCTCCTGGACATCCTTATGAAGAAAGAAAACAAACACAGTAAAGTTGGATTTTTTGCTAACTTGCGGAAAACTGGCTATAAAACACACAGCCTTAAAGTTTGGTCAGCTGGGCTATTAATTTTTATAGGCCTACTGGTTTTATATTCATGATGTAGGCCTACACAACAGGTAACATATTTCGTGGAATGACACCTGCACCTGTACTTATCAGGTCCAACAGAGGAAGCCTATGCTCTTTCTTTAGACAAAGCGTTTTTGTCATTGCCAACAATTTGACACTCATTGCCGATAAGTGTTGAGCTGGAGAGAGAGAGAGAGTCAGTGGGAAAGCGATGGGGGCGGGGACAGACTTCACCTTGTCTTCACCATAGACTTCACGGCTCCCATTCAGCACAGCTGTGTGTGTGTGTGGGGATCCAGACACGCGTGTGGGTCTCTTTAAATGAGGAATCCGGACAGTGTCGGGGATTGATATCGGCGATTGGTGTGTAATAGTCTCTAACGGGCGCATAATCACCTCACTGGAGGGAATCTCTTTCTTTCTTTTCTGTTTTTTTTTGCAAGATAATCAAATAAAATGGACAGCTCAGACAAGGAGAACAGGTCGGATGAAGAATTTGAATCACCCGAAGAAGAAGAGGTAGACCCGAGAATTCAGGTAGATTGTCATTGATTTTTGTGCTTGACGAGATGAAAAGAGTGATGATTTCAAACACACTTATTACACATTGAGGAAGCCTAATTGATTGGTTTCATATCATATTTTGCTTATCGGTGACACTGCATGTTATTGACTTCTTGACACTGAGGGGGAATTATTGATTAATTCGCCGCAACTTGCTTTTTATTGTCGGCTCGTCTGCGATACTGAGTGCACTGGTGCCTCGATTCAGTGTTGCCAGATCCCGCTGGAAAAACAAGCCACCTGATCTGACAAAACACACAAATACGCGTGAAAGAAGCGAGAAGCCAGGTTTTTTATTTTTCTATAGCAAAGAGAATATCCAGATCCATTTGATTTGATGTAGGCCTACTAGCATAGACCTGAAATGCATTTGGAGAATCACCGGGAAAAGTCAAGAAAACGGGTGGAAACTATAGCGAATAAATTGACAACTGCTAGGCTATTACTCTTGATCATGCTTCTTTATGCTATGGATGTCACGACTCGCAGTTATGAAATAATAATAATAATTGCAATCCGAGACTGTCCATATTTGATCGACTTTGATTTGTATTGTTGATTATGATTAGCCGGTCTAAATATGTGCATATAGGCATAGCATCAACCAAGTTTTCTTTCTCTCCTTTGTTTGCGCTACTGCAGTCAATGAGATCCAAATGAAAGTGAATCCCTCAATGGGATATGTCTCTATTTTAGATTTCTGACTCTTGAGTTTTCTTTACAGGGCGAGCTTGAGAAGCTGAATCAGTCCACAGATGACATCAATAGATGTGAAACTGAGCTTGAGGTATGATTGCACGATCCAACATCCAAAAGTTTGGACTAAATGAATGGTCAAATAATATTTCTAGAATAGATATCATTTTATTTAATTAATGAATGAAAGCCCATTTGGACTGCTTATTGGTGGTGGTATTTTTTTTCATTTGTGTGCATACACACACACTATATATAATGTATTTTCTTTTTGCCAGGAATTTCAATTATTACTTTTCTAATATGATAATGCCATATTCTCGCTTCTTAAAATGTATCAGTTGGCAAATTGTTAATAGAAGTCACCTGTCTTAAGTTTGGATTTTGTACCATGGCACACCAAGGAACAGAATGTGTTATAATATCAGGATTATGCAATAGATCGTGTTCCTTGAGCACCATAAATGACTGGAATCTTGTATCCAGTAATGAATTCTGTGCTTCACTCACTGTAAAAAGTAAACTTACAAAAAGTTGATGAAAGATCAAAAGCCAAAAAAATAAAATGACAAGGAATATGATAGGCCTATTTTTGTTGATATTTGGCATTCATATCCTTTACATTTTTTATGCAGACCATTATTTAAGAGTCCAGCACAGATCTCAGAGATGCAGCATGCCGTAAACAAGGACATGTTTAGACAAAAACACACTCAGCTGTTCAGAATCAGTCATGTGGTCACTTTGGTCGCACTGAATTGTCCCGATGCCACTGAGTTCATTGTTTAGGCATGTCCTAATGTAATAATTTAATAAAATGACTTAGCTAGTCTGTAGTCTGATTGTGAGTCAAAAAGAGGCCGAAAGAGAAATACTTTCTCAAAATGTCTTAAAATCGCCTGTTTGCCGATTTCTCTGGCAGCCCAGCTCCGGAAGCAAAAACACTCTGAACATAGCATTAGCAAGTTGTTTCCTGCAGATAAAAATGAAGTAGGGCACATGCTAACTGTATAGTAATATTAGAGTTGGAAGAGCGCCGTGAAGATTTTTATAGATCTTTATTGATTAGGATATCTCTAAACTTCTTAAAACATAATGGAAAGCTTCTGGCTTGTTTTGTTTTTTGAAGTCGACTGTTATCTGAAAAAGTCGAGTCGACGTCGACTAATCGTTGATGACGTAATTAATAAAAACACAAGGGAATGGAATACTTTGCAACATGCCACAATTTGCAATTTATAAGCACAAAATTATACAGATGCTGACAGACAGCTCATAACATGTTGAAAGTTAACGGCAACAATGCAATGCGTTTTAGTGTAAAAGATTATTGATGCACAATGTCGGCATAACATAATGACATTTATGCAAAATATAAGCCTACTCGCTGTCACAGTCCTGCTCAGTCACAGTTTTTGCTTTTCGACCCTGGTTTGCATGTAAGAAGATGAGGGGATCGATGTGGGCTGGATGGAGGCTCGCCCGCTGTCGGCTGATGATAGCTATTCCTAGCCAGTGAGAGAATTTTCTCGCTTGGGTAGCTGGGACAGCCAAGAATCTTTTGCAAAGCTTGGCCAAACGAGGAAAATTGTCGTGCCTCGAGCACCTCCTAGTGGTCATTATAACACACAACTACATTACATTGCTTAAAGGGGTCATATAATGCCATTTTTGTACAAGCTAATATGATTCTTTAGGGTCTAAATTAAAAGTTTGTAATATACTTTAAAATTCTCATTAGTATTGTAAGAAAACACTTATTTTACCTGGTCAAAAACAGCTCTGTTTTCAGCACGCCGTTTCAGTGCATATGACTTTAAATGATAATGAGCTTTGCTCACCCCGCCTCTCTGTGCTGTGCATACACCATTTGTAACTCAATAACACAATAACCATAACGTGTTGTTCAGTATAAACGTGGGATTATGAATTATATTGAGAACGTCAAACATGCCGTAATGTACCCTGAGTGTAAACCTTAGACGCATTCATTGTGAAGCGTCCAGCTAGCGATTTGCAAAGATTAATATATTAATATAAAGTTTAATAAAACGTTACACTCACTTCCGTTCTTCTGGAGATTCAGCAGGAACACGAATATCTGGTACCGATCCTTTTTTCATGAGCAGCTTCTTAGCAAATCCAGCTTTATACTGACCCTCGTTTATAAAGCAGTCTGGTGAGAAATGATTCGCGCAAACATGAGAGCATTGACGTTGCTCGTGGGGAATATTCCCTTCGAAAACAAACTCAGCCACTGCTTCTTCAGCGGTTCGGATTTAGTAACATTAAAATGACTGCTGTGTTCGTTATTACACCCAAGAACAGAACACCACAATCGCTTAGACGCCATTCTGCTCATAGACAGTGCTCCAGCATATCAACAATGACCGCGCCGGTCCGCGCCGCGCAGACTATGATTGACAGCTCCCTCATGAGCGAGGGCGGGTCTGTGTTGAAACGCTCCTGTCAATCAACAATCGTGGGAGGGGCGTGCGAGCTTGTGACGTCACAGGCTCGAACGGCTCGATTTGAGGCCGTGGAAAACATATAAGGAGATTAAAACAAAACCACTGGATGGATTTTTATTATTATATGATGGTTGTGTACAGGCACTGCCAACACACATTTCAGTACAATCAACTTGTAAAAGTGCATGTACCATTATATGACCCCTTTAATAAGTTAATAGAACTCACATGATCAGCGCGACTATTCGACGTCAAGCTTAAAGCGTCATAGCAGAGCATTAATGAATAGTCTGTACCTATTTTATACACACAGAAAGTTAAGAAAGTTCAGTATAGTTGTCACTGTTTATGCAGACTTTCATGACCCAGTCCAACTCTGATGATTGTTCTGAGAATCCCATATATAGCCTAATTGAGCTATTTGTCTGTCAACCAAATTAGTGTTGCTTTTGCATCACTGGCCATGTTGCACTTCAAAGGGGACTAAAGATTTAACTCTTGGTGTTCTCTTTTTCCTGGAATGCAAGTGCTGCAAATAATCGATCTGTGTTGATGGGGGATTTATGGGATTTAATCTAATTGCTTTGCCTTGGGCAATAAATGGAAAATAATGATTTAACTACATGGAAAAAGCTTGTTTACAACTCAAGCGAAAAGCATATTTTTTCCATGTCCTTCAGACATCTTCACAAATCTTCTTGAAAATCTGATTACAGATAAACTCATTTTACTCCCTTTTTATGTATAGCACCTTTCATGTGCAAAGTAGTTGACCATAATGCCATGACAAGTTGAAATCTTAAAAGTATCCAAATGGCACAAGTCATTTCACTGTATAATTCTTGTTTTTAATGTTTATTATATACATAATATAATTATACGTAGCATTCCTTGTGTTTCCAAGTACTCAATTGATTTCAGATGTTGTCAGCATAAATCAATGTGGTAATTTCTATAAAGTTTGTTTGTGCCATCTCAACTCTGCATGTTTGTTTTGGTTGGTATGATGTGTACAATGCATCACCTTTGATCCAGAACTATGTTCATAAAAGAAATAACTCAAAACTTTACATAACTGTATTAAAATTATAATTATGGTTGATACCAGTAAGCTAAATTAGCTCATATTTATTTTCATGTAATGGCCAATATTAAAATTATATATTTTGTTTAAATAACTTAAAATAAATAAATTAAATAAATATGCAATTAATTAAATAAAATGAAATGCTACAAATTAAAAAATGGTAATTCATTTTGAGATTTGCTAGTTTTTTTTTAATGGTGTTATTAAATTATGTTTTTTGTGTTGCTTGATGTAAAATTTTTATGCCATTTGATATCATCATTAATAATAAATATAATTCTTTTTTTTTTAAGATTAACGTTGAGTTTGCGTTTAAACGACGATGATGTAATAGAAAAGTTTTTACTTGACGTTTTTCACAGACGACAACGTTGTCAAAACGATCCCTGTCACAGATCAGCGAAAATGACTAATACGCTGTATTATGTTGCCAGACCAGTAGATGGCGATGTGACTTTGTAAAGAAACTACGCGACTATAGCCTGAACATGAATACGCATGTGCATTCCGTCACAGTTTTCTCAAATTCGTTTTTGTAGTTTACAGAGAAGATAACAGTATCGTTTTTAAAAAACTTGCACGTTTTCAAAAGTTTCAGTTTTCAGGCCCCCAAAACGCTGTTGTACTGTAAATGAACGGTCAAAACGGATAAAAAGTTTTCTGTTTATGGTTGAAATTGTAAACACCTCCTAAGTGAGCATTAGATGACAGCAAAAGTATTCAAAATACACAAATAGAGAAAATAAGCAAATTACAATTAAATGTACAATACCGACAGATTCGATAAGTAAAAAAAGTCTCTAATATTTGCTGGTATCGATATATTGTGCATCCCTAAACATAGCCATTTGATTGTTCATGTTTTGGTACGTGTCTAGGATGCCAGGCAGAAGTTTCGTTCTGTGCTGGTGGAAGCCACTTTAAAGCTGGACGAGCTGGTGAAGAAGATTGGAAAAGCGGTGGAGGAATCGAAGCCGTACTGGGAGGCCCGGCGGGTGGCACGGCAGGTGAGGCCAAGAAAATCAAAACAAGAACCCAATATTATCTTCCTAAAGCCAACTTCACCCACACAGCGTCTGTTTTTAGTTGGCACTCCACCATTTTGTCTGCGGTGTGTTTTCTTTTATCCCTCTCTGGAGATTGTGCTATCAGCTTGTTATCTGAGCTGGATGGCACAGTAGCATTAACTCTAGATCTGTCACAGGTGGTTGGCTTCATTCAACAAGGCGTAAAAGACTTTGCAGAGAGAGAGAGAGAGAATTTTTAAATGCTCAATTCTCAGTTCCCTTTTCTCAAAGGCCTGTGCTATTCTAAGAGCAGATTATCAGTTTATCTCGGTTAGTGAATTGCAGCTGGGGTGTTGAAGGGGGGAGAAGGGGCTGTAAAATTTCTCATTTGCTTTGACTTGTAAAAGCAAACTTCCTCTGATTTTATAGTATACAACATTTGGTGAACTTTATGTGACTGAATCAGTAACAACTGAAAAGAGTCCTGAAAAGAGTCCTGAAACTGGGGCAAGATAGTGTTATGCTTTTCACTCCATGAAGGAAGAATTTTTGGTGGCCTATTTAATTTCACTGACAAAGCACCTGATTTTCTTCAGTTTCCTTGGTGGTGAAGGAGAGCGATGTGCCCTTTGAAGTTATTTTCCTCAGGGACAAACAGAAGTGTTTTTATGGAAACAGTCCCGTTTGGGTTGTCAAGCTCCTTTATAGTGAAAAATGTGGAGATGATTCATTTAAACTGGTTTAAATTTTTCTTCGCTCTTCTGAAGGATGAGCTTTTATACTGACAGGTTATTCTAATTTGAAACACCAGTTGCCTTTTAGCGAGAAGTGTTATGTCTTGCATTATGCTACATTGTCAATGATAAACTTCTTCTGTTGGGGAGAAAACCCCTCAAAATTGCACAAACAAATGGGTGAGAGATGATGATGATGATGATTATTATTATTATTAAAGAGTTAGTTCACCCAAAAATGAAAATTATGTCATTAATTACTCACCCTCATGTCATTCCACACCCGTAAGACTTTCGTTCATCTTCGGAACACAAATCTTTTTGATGAAATCTGAGAGCTTTCTGTACTCTTCATTGACAGCTACGCAACTACCACTTTGACGCTTCAAAAAGTTCATAAAGAGATCGTAAAACGAATCCATATTAATTGAGACATTTAGACCAAATTTTCTCAAGGGATTCGTTCACTTTATATAATGAACAGGTTTAATTTAGGCTCGAAGATGATTTAAAATTTTGGGATGAACTGACCCTTTTGTTTAATTTTTTTTTACTATTACTTACTACTACTATAGTACTACACATATAAAAATAATATTAATATTTATAATGAATCTTAGCTTTATTTACAACCATGTCATTTATTATTCATTATTATTAATCTTTGCTTGATACACAAATATGCCACTTATTATTGAAATAATAATATTCATTATCATAATTATCTTAAATTAATATTTGCTTGATGCACAATTATGCTATTTATTATTACTGAAATAATAATAATAAGAATCATCTTTAAAATTCTTTATAAATAATATTTGCTTGCTGTACAATTTTTATGCCATTTGATGATGAATATGATCATTATTATTAGTAGTAATAATACCACAAATATTTATAATTTATCTTTGCTTGATATACCATTTTTATGTAATATCTGTTTTTGTCTATGTGGACAGGATATTCTGACCCAAATTCCCAGAAGAGTGAGACCGTAACATTTATGGTTTTCATATGTGTAACAGATATGTCAGGATTTACACTGCATGATCAGTCTCTCTCTCTCTCTCTCTCTCTCTCCTCTGTGCTGTCTCTCTGCAGTGAACACTTGACTGCAGTGAAGCTTTAACTGTTTCGTGTCTCTGCAGTTTGCCATGTCTCTCTCCCCCCACCACTGTCTCTGTCTGAACATCTCCCCCTGAATTTCCATCAATATATTTAGAAAAGAATTTCAAACAACCACTTATGACCTCTTCTGCCAGTTTTATTTATCGCAAGCATCAGTGGAAATCCCCCCTAATTCAATTGTTACCTTATTTAGAGCTACATCCCGCCTACGTCGAGCTTGTTCTTGGTTTGAAATTACTTCTGCAATAGACAACATCCTTTTTCTTTATATATGTATATGTGCTATATTCAGAGAAGCAGCTGGCTGTTTTAGACTACAGCATATCGCAGATCTGATGCATTCCAATGTCTCTCTAAATAAAAGGCCTTGTCTCGTTTTCAAAAGGGGTCAGTTTGCTATACTGTAAGAAGCTCTTGATCAAAAGTTAACAGCTTGTTCATCTAGCCGTATATTTTCTCATACAAATGTGATTTCTTATTCGCAATCTGTATTTAGAGTGGCCCACTTCAAAGTCTAGTTTACACTTATACAATCGTCAAGTGTCCATCACAATCCTTTGTAAATATGCATGGCTCACGAGGCTTCAGCGGCAGTTGTCAGAATCTTTTAGCTCTGATGGCAGTTGAAGACTCTTGAGTTTAGATGGAATCAGTGATGAGGTATAATGAATGCAGGAAACCGTATAAGCACCACGTATGACCGGTCTGCTGATTCGTGGATTGAAGTTTTTTCAGAACTGTTCTCATATTAATAATTCAGAACACATTTCTCATTAAGAGCTCCTCTGAATAATGCACACACATACTCATTCTCATATATACATTGGTTTTCCGGCTACTGTACTTCCAGTATGCTTGTAAAAAATGATTTTGCTGGGATGGATTTGTGAAGACTTCAACATCAGCATTCATTGCCAAGAGCCGTGAAATATATTTTAAAGGCGAATTAAATTAACGAAGTTGCATATTTTGACGCAATTATTTTGGTAGCATTAAAGGGATAGTTCACACAGAAAGGAACATTTTCATAATTGATTCACCATCATGTCATGCCAAATCTCTCTTCTGCAGGATACAAAAGAAGATATTTTGTGAAAGTCAATTTGGTCCAATGTTGTTTTGGCCATTTACACTGCTAGTACGTACGATTTTCTTAAAATGTATGAAAGAAGTCTTTTATGCTCACCAAGAATGCATTTATTTGATAAACAATACAGTAAAAAACAGTTCTATTGTGAAATATTATTACAATTTAAAAGAGCTATTTTCTATTTGAATACATTTTAAAATGTAATTTATTCCTCTGATGTTAAAGCTGAATTTTCAGCATCATTACTTCAGTCTTCAGTGTCACACGATCCTTCTCAAATCATTCAAATATGCTGATTTGGTGCTCAATATTGAAAACAGTTGTGCTGCTTCATATTTTATGGAAACCAGGATTAGGATTCTTTGATGAATAGAAAGTTCAATAGAATAGCGTTTTTATTGTGTAACAATATAAAAGTCTTTAATGTCCGTTTTCAAATTTAATGCATACTTGCCCAATAAAAGCAAGTAAATATCGAAAAGCAAGTCTGTTTATTTCTCTGATTTAAACAGGCTGTGTTTGCTGTTGTACCTTTGAGACTTCTGAATGTAAATAACTTGCATAATGATTTGCTAGCCATGTGTTTAGCTAATCAGTATATAACCACAATGTAGAGTGTGGAAATGAGTGCCAATGCTTAAGTGCTGTGAACGTTAGACTCTGTCTAGATACAACACTGAACTGCTCTGTTTTAGAAGAGCAAGGGAAATCATTTTGCCGTGATGTGTCCTCGGAGCACACTTGAACACAGGGAAGGACCATTCTCCTGCCGATTTGTCATGTCCAATGATGGTTTCAATGGTCTCACTCAGCACTTCAGTTTGAGAAGCGGGTCCCGCTCTTGTCAGATGTCCCGCCAGCAGAGCTAAAACACCTGCAGCTATGTGTGGGTGTCATGAAACTCTCTCAGAACGCCACTGCAGTCTTCTCATAAAAATATGAGTAGCTTGAATATAAATTCTTTCGCTTTATGACTACCTCAGATGTCCTAAATGTGAACTTGTGTTTTCCTAAGGCCTGGATTATCGCAATGTTTCATGTATCGCAATCGCCATGATGGGATAATTAAAAATAATGTGGTTCATTTGTTAAGAAAATGCTTGGTTTACAGCTTTGACATTTACCCTTAAATATTGTTGACGTTCATAGCAAATTAGCAGTTATTATTACTATGACGCATACATTTGATGATTGAGTTGGATACAATTAGACTAATAGTACACAAAGGCCAATGTTGCTCGGTAAGTCAAAAGCATTACGATAAGAATTTTTCCTCAAACGCTATAAGACATATTGTAATATTGTGAAGCATTCCCAGCTCACAAAAAATATGTTCTTAGAACGGTTTGCTAATATTCCCATTAAGTTATGAAACGTTATTTTTTTATTTTTTTAAGTTTTAAACTTTTTTGGTTATGGGAATATTATATTTTGCAAACATTATGCTTTCTTGGTGGTAAATTGCTATAGCTGTTTAATGGTGACTGCATGGCACCAAAGCAGTTTTATTGCAATCAGTTTATGAGTCATAACCCCTCTGCTGCCTTCCGCCTTCAGTCAATAAGCTTTAAAGAATAAGTTGGAGAATTTCATAATGGCTATATTTATCACAGCTACACTTGGTTTTTTTAATGAGAATGTATTGTGTAGAAACCCCTTTTGGCCCCAAATCAGCTCATGGTTTATTTTCTGCTACAGAAAAGTTTGATAAGATGAACTCTATAGTCTCATGTTTAAGCTCGAAGTCCCAGTAGGCCAGTGTGCGTTGAAGCAATGAAAGCATTAGTCTTGAGAGGGGTGATCTCCAGGTCAAAAAGAGCCACAAATGATCTTGTTTTTATGCCAGTCAAATGAGATGTACAAAAGCATTGCAAACGACTTTAACCAATTGTCCTGGTTCTGGCATAATGACATCAAAACAGCATGTCAACTGGGTCACCATCGACCCAGAACATCTCATTATGAGGCCGTCGTCTCTGTGTAATTTTTGGAGGAGGATAAAGCTTTGATGTAATAGCCTAAGACTTTTCCATAAACAAAGAGAAGTACTTTTTCTGTCCATTTAATTGCAGTAAAGTTAATAATCATCGTCGTCTCTCTCTGTTTCCTGGAATGAAATCAAATTATTTTTGTGCTGCTTGTTAAATATTAGATGTGATTTATTGCAATGCCTCTCTTTGCTGCGAAACTGATTTGAAGCAGTTAGTATTAACACGCTACTCCTCTGGAAATAACTTTAGACCTCAAGAGTACCTCTGAGCGCAATTTGAATGAATATTTTAACAAGTTTTTCCCTGCATAAATACGAAAGCTTCTAAAGTTTTGGCATCTGCTGAATTCTTAAGAGTACTGGCCATTTTAAAGACTTTGTAGCTTGATTGTTGTCTTTTTATGGTTATGTTGTTCACACACTAGTGCTGTCAATCGATTTAAAAAAGTTACTAATTAATCAACATTTTTCTGTAATTAATCACGATCACTGGTTTTTAATATATTATTTATATTGTAATCATTTCACATTTCCAAATGAATGTTGAAACAACATAATGATCGTATATTTTAAATATTTGTTTAATGCCATTTTTTATTTTTTTACAAATGAAGGCCAGTGTCTCAGATACCAATGCTGCTACTGATGTCTTAATGAAATTGATTCTTTTTCTCAAATTTAGCAATTAATTGTAGCCCTTCAACATTGCAATTTTGAATTTTAACATTTATTAGGCTTTATAATAAATATCACATTTAGCTGTGGCTTTGATGCATTTTATTTTATTTCATTTCACAACTTTCTACACCAGCCCTTCGATCTTGTCCTTTCCTGGGTGGACTGGAGATCTGTCCTGCCATCTGCAGCGATCGCCTGTTGTCAGCTCTCTGTGGCAATGCGGCAGCATCATGTCAACTGTAAAGCCTGAGCTAAAAATAGCCTGTGTGTGAGTGAAGAAGGGATGGAGGAAAAGGGAAAGAAAAAGTAAATGAATTGAGCTGTCTCAAATGAAGAATGAAAGGCTATAATAGGACAGATTGGATGAAAGGTAGAGATTATCCCTGGGATTATTGCGTATCCATTGGACTGCCAGTGTTTGATACAGTGCACATTCAGTTTTGAATCTCATAGAATTCAAGGTCTTATAGTAGAGATATGTATCACTTTCCCTGGGTGACAGACATAACAAGAATGTTGTTTTATTGTGAATGTTCACACTGCTCTTTACCTGTATAATAAATGTAACTGTCATTTCAAAAATAACCATATAATGTTTTACACTTGTTTGTGCTTGTGTGTGTAGATAGATATGTAGATAGTAAGTAATATTAATGCGTAATGCAGATAATAAACTTTGAATGAATTACTGGCATATTCTCCAAATTTCTGAGTTGGTTTATATGATCTCTCTCTATGCTTTACATCTCTTCAAACTTGGTGTGAAACTGCCTCATTGCCATTGGTTGGTTTAAAAACCTATCCTGTTTTGTTTGGCTATGTCGGTAAGAGGTTTCCACTGAGGTTTTCTGTCAGTGGGAGTTACGTGGAGATTAGAGTTAAAAAGTAATGGAATAGGAAAGGATTACGTTTTTTGCACGACTTTAGCATGGCTTGCTTTAATTCACCATAAAGGAAGTTCAAGGGTGACTTTTAATATGTCACCATACAGGAAGTTCTGTGCATTTGTAAAGTTTCTCCATCTCTTGCACTGATTGCTTCATGGATTATCCACATTGTTGTTTACTGTGGCATTGGACTCTGTTTATGTAAATGCCTTCTGCCTGTTTCCTAGACTCAGCTGGAAGCACAGAGATCCACGCAAGACTTCCACAGGGCCACGGAGGTACTGCGGGCGGCCAAAGAGACCATCGCCCTGGCTGAAGAGAGGCTGCTGGAGGACGACAAGAAGCAGTTTGACTCGGCCTGGCAGGAGATGCTCAACCACGCAACACAGCGAGTGAGTGATGCAAAGTTGTGGGATGGTAGGATGAGGTGAACCAGGAAGTACTCTAACATCCCTGTTTTGGTTTATAGGTGATGGAGGCAGAGCAGATAAAAACACGCAGTGAGCTTCTGCACAAGGAGACCGCTGCCAAATACACTGCCGCCATGAGCCGAATGAAACAGCTGGAGAAGAAGCTCAAACGCACCATCAACAAGTCTAAGTATGCACCGATTAATTTGTTAAACGCACAAGCATTCAGTGAAACCATTTTGGCTAGTAGTCTTCGCTTATCATGTCTGATGCATATTGCACACAAAAATGGCATGAGGATCCTTAAACAGCCAATGGATGGTTGCTATGTTGTATGTTTATGGGGACTGTAAGTTTTACTTTGTTGTTATAGTTAAAGGTGCAAAACGCAAGTCTCTGAGTTTTTGCAGAACTACGCCCCCTCTGGCGACAAGCAAAACTGCAACCAGAGTTGTGCACGCTCATGGACCACACGCATCTTTTATTGGATATGTTTTATGTTTCATGTTGTACTATTCTTCCGAACACAATTCCTAGTTTATGAAACTGTTCACTAACAATGGTAGAAAAACCAATTCTGATTGTACATGTATCTAGCTTACGCTAAAGCATTACACATTTTACGCATCGTCGTTTGTTGTCATACATAGATTGGCCGTATCAAACATTAGAGACTGGGCTATATCTTACCGTTTTATCAAGAAAAAAGCCAACTGAGGATCCCATTTGAGACCAAGAGCAGACCGGAGATCTCTCCATTTGTTGAATGCCTTCCCGAGGTTGACTCTCGTCTTACTCCGACGCCTGTCTGACTCCAATTTGGACCTTTTGGTGGCACTAGACAAAATTTTTCTTTTCTTTACTTTACGTGGAGTTTGCGTTGGGGTTTGGAATGGACTACAAGCCGGTCTCTTTGAATCCATCTTCTACCTTTGACGCACGAGTTGTCTTCGCTGATGCTGAGAATGGCGGCGCCGGCGAATACACAAACCTGCGAGACATAGCCTGGTGAGCGTGAACGCGCATGATGTCACGCCCAGTCTCAAATTCGAGCCCGAATCCCTCTTATATATTTTACTGTACAGGATTATAGAGGCAATCTCAGTGCGCAGAGAAGGGCTCATTCAGCCCATCAGGCAGTTCTTTAAGCATGTATAGGATAGAAAAACAGGTATTTTTAACATGAAAAGTTGCGCAATGCACCTTTAATTTACTAGCGATTCCAGATTTACCCACTCCAAGGTCCGAAACAATTCCTACACAAGTCAGTATGAAATATGTTACAACGCAATTTGTAATGCACCACCGTACTTTTTTTGCATTGTTATTGTTCTACGTAGGCAGTTTTTGTCCATAATTAGTTTATGCTGAGAGTTCAGCCATCTGTGTCTGTGAGACTAGGCTCATGTTAAACCCTTAACTATCAGTTTTAGGGGGGTTTCTCACACGTGATGGTGACTCGGCAGGCTCCAGAACCTTATTAATCCTCTCACTCATCATTAGATTAATGTGTCAGCATGTGAACGGTTGCCATGGTGATATGTACGATTATATTTATAGGCCTTTACAGTAGCTCTAATCACTTTTTCTCACTCTCTTTTTCAGGCCCTACTTTGAAATGAAGGCAAAGTATTACTTGCAGCTTGAGGTACTTATGGATGTTTCATGATAAGTGCTACATGATAAATCATTTTTTAAATGCATAAAACATTTTTAGTGATTTTATTATAATTTCAAAATCTAAAAAGCTATTAAAGATTTACTTAACATTTAACATTAACATTTAAAAATTTTTTTTTAGTTTTGCTTAAGACAAGAAAAAACTTTGCCATTGGAGTTCGAAAGCTAATTTAGCATATTCTCCAAAAACAATCTTCTCAAATATTTAATACAGAAATTAAAAATACATATTTTTAATTGTTTAATTGTTTTTTTATAATTTAATCTATTTACCTGTATGTGTTGGCCCTTACTTTTTCGATTTTTTGTCCATGTTCCTTTTTCATATCTTGTTTAATGTCAACTCAGTTTTTTGTCCTTCCCTCTTAAGCAACTGAAGAAGAATGTGGATGACCTCCAGGCCAAGCTGACGCAGGCTAAAGGGGAATATAAGTCAGCCCTCAGGAACCTGGAGATGATCTCAGATGAGATCCATGAGCGCAGACGTTCTTCAGTCATAGGCCCGCGGGAGAGAGGTGTGGGTGCAGAGGGGGACGGTGTCATTGGTGAAGACCTGTCTGGCTTTAAGATGGAGTCTGATGGAATATCAAGTGAGTCCATGCAACATACTGTCTCTAAACAGCACTCTAGGCATCATAGATGCTCATCATAGATGCATAGATGCTAGGCAGCAAAATTAGGCTGCCTTTTAAAAATCATTGTGGGCAATTATAAGGCCCCGTTCCCAGAATGCTTCGCAACAAAGAAATTTTGATTATATCTTATACTGAAAAGCAATGATAAAAATGTTTCAGTTTAATTTCAAATGGATATTTTCACTAAATAGTTGTTTTATTTAATATAATATTAATAGCATATATATATATATATATATATATATTTGTTGATGGAATGCATTAATTGTGACTGGGATGTGACAGTTCTTTTGTTTTATTCAGGTAAATTCAGTATTCTAGGTCTTTTCTACCCTTTAAATGTTTGTCCTTACTCTTAAGCACTCCTTAAGCTATTAACTTTAAACAACTCTTTAGTTGAATAGATCAAAACTGTTGAATGAGATCCATTTTTGTCTTATTTTATTATTTGCTCACTCTCATGTCGTTCTGAAACCTGATTCAGATTAAGACCTGATTAAGATCATGTGGTTCATTGATTTTAAAAACCTTTGGATATAAAGGTTTTATTTCTGTGTCTATTATAGTACATTTAGTAAAAAAGTATAAATGTCTACATAAAATGTCTATTTATATAAAAATTCAAAACCATGACCTGACCATCTACATGTTCCAGAATCAGATTTGTCCTTTGTCTTCCTGCAGTGGCGTCTGGGTCCTACGAGGATGAAAACTGCAGCACGAGTGCCATGTCAGAGGAAGACTCTGAGACTCAGTCCAACAGTAGCTTCAGTTCTGGGACGAACAGCCCTCTGGACTTGCCTTACCCTTTCTCCTCCTCATCCTCCTTTTCCTCTGCCTCTCCAACCTCCACCTCCCCCTCCTCTCGCCCCTGTAGTCTGGACCTGCCCAGCACCGTCTCTTTGTCTGATTTTAGCCTGATGTCCCCCATCCTCGGCCCACGCAGCGAATGCAGCGGCGCATCCTCCCCCGAGTGCGACCTAGAGAGAGGTGAGATATTCTTAGATGCGTTTACGTTGACGGATGGGACCCAAATAACGCTGCACTAGCACGTGAGGGATTGAATTAAGGCTTGTTCTTGTTTCTCCTGTGAGACGATGCCATTTTTCTTTGTTTTCGGCCTGCTTGCACCTGTGTCCTCTAGGGGGGTTCATTAATCTCACTGATGGATAACTGCGTGGCTTTTCAGCGCCTAAATAAGTCCAACACAAATGTATCTGCTAAAATGTGATGTTTTTAAAGCAGGGCTGTTAATTTACACATGAATATAAATATCTAGAATAATTATAAAATGACATTATAATATTTATTTTTTAGGGCTGTCAAATGATTAATCGTGATTAATCACATCCAAAATAAAAGTTTACATAATATATGTGGGTGCACTGTGTATAATTATTTTATATATATAAATACACACACATGCTTGTATATATTTAAGAAATATTTTCATGTATATACTTGTATATAGATTTATATATAATTTATATTATATATAAATATAAATATTTTATATATAAATATTTTTTTTCTTAAATATACATGCATGTGTGTGTATTTATATATATATATACAAAATAATTATACACAGTGCACCCACATATATTATGTAAAAAAAACTTTTATTTTGGATGTGATTAATCGTGATTAATCATTTGACAGCCCTATTATTTTTACATTTATATCACGAGTACAATTATTGTAAAAAAAATAAATATATCCTTATCATTATTATAATTTCTATAATTAACATTTTATTATAATAATAATTTAATACACGAGTACATTTAGTAAAATTATTGAAAAATATATAATATCCTTATCATTATTATATTTTATAATTAACATTTTATTATTGTTTATTATATATAAATTATTATGTAATATATTATGCTATTAAATAAACAGTACAATTTCTCTCTCTCTATATATGTATATATGTATTGTACTGTATGTATTGTATACATTGTACTGTGTGTGTGTGTTTGTGTGTATATATATATATATATAATAAAATTTTGTAAAATATTATATTGCATTATAATAATTTACAATACAATAACAGAATTATAACAGGGTTAGTAGTAAAATATAATATTACAAACAAAACATCGATTTTATATTAAAACATTTTATGTATGTATAGGTATAGTAATATATACGTGTGTGTGTGTGTATATATATATACACTCACCTAAAGGATTATTAGGAACACCTGTTCAATTTCTCATTAATACAATTATCTAATCAACCAATCACATGGCAGTTGCTTCAATGCATTTAGGGGTGTGGTCCTGGTCAAGACAATCTCCTGAACTCCAAACTGAATGTCAGAATGGGAAAGAAAGGTGATTTAAGCAATTTTGAGCGTGGCATGGTTGTTGGTGCCAGACGGGCCGGTCTGAGTATTTCACAATCTGCTCAGTTACTGGGATTTTCACGCACAACCATTTCTAGGGTTTACAAAGAATGGTGTGAAAAGGGAAAAACATCCAGTATGCGGCAGTCCTGTGGGCGAAAATGCCTTGTTGATGCTAGAGGTCAGAGGAGAATGGGCCGACTGATTCAAGCTGATAGAAGAGCAACTTTGACTGAAATAACCGCTCGTTACAACCGAGGTATGCAGCAAAGCATTTGTGAAGCCACAACACGCACAACCTTGAGGCGGATGGGCTACAACAGCAGAAGACTCCACCGGGTACCACTCATCTCCACTACAAATAGGAAAAAGAGGCTACAATTTGCAAGAGCTCAACAAAATTGGACAGTTGAAGACTGGAAAATGTTGCCTGGTCTGATGAGTCTCGATTTCTGTTTAGACATTCAGATGGTAGAGTCAGAATTTGGCGTAAACAGAATGAGAACCTGGATCCACCATGCCTTGTTACCACTGTGCAGGCTGGTGGTGGTGGTGGTGGTGTAATGGTGTGGGGATGTTTACTTGGCACACTTCAGGCCCCTTAGTGCCAATTGGGCATTGTTTAAATGCCACGGTCTACCTGAGCATTGTTTCTGACCATGTCCATCCCTTTATGGCCACCATGTACCCATCCTCTGATGGCTACTTCCAGCAGGATAATGCACCATGTCACAAAGCTCGAATCATTTCAAATTGGTTTCTTGAACATGACAATGAGTTCACTGTACTAAAATGGCCCCCACAGTCACCAGATCTCAACCCAATAGAGCATCTTTGGGATGTGGTGGAACGGGAGCTTCGTGCCCTGGATGTGCATCCCACAAATCTCCATCAACTGCAAGATGCTATCCTATCAATATGGGCCAACATTTCTAAAGAATGCTTTCAGCACCTTGTTGAATCAATGCCACGTAGAATTAAGGCAGTTCTGAAGGCGAAAGGGGGTCAAACACAGTATTAGTATGGTGTTCCTAATAATCCTTTAGGTGAGTGTATATATATACAGTGTGTATTTTTCTTTATTTTTTTCTTCATTTATTACTTGTATGCTAGCAACACCAAGGTCAAGAGTTATTTTTCCAGGAAATGCATCAACTGATAAAATCTATACTTTGAATGCAATGTAGTTCGCTTTGGATAAAAGCGACAAATACGTAAAAGTTAATTATAATAATACTAATATTTTGCTCTTTAATTACTGTGGTTGATTTAATCAGCTTCATTGTGTACAGGTGACAGAGCAGAAGGTGCCGAGACCGTACTGGACAACGTTCTCAATAACAATCGTATAAGCAACACTAAAACAACCTTTGGCCTGGATAGCCGTTTCCGCCTGCTTTCTCTAAAACTTAGCCGAAATGAAAGCAGAAAAAACGCTCAGAAATCCACAATCCTCCTCGATGGGATGTGACTGCAACATTCCCACGGCGTTGATGTATTCATCCACATTCTGTGTGCTATGGAAAGGCACTGGCAGCCACTCGTCCTTCACTTTAGTGTCATCCCAGCCCATTCCCGTTCCGCCAACTTTCAGACTGAACTTTCACTCGATCTCACAGGTGTGAGAAAAGCAACCAAGGACACGATGTGCTGAGGAGGCAAATATCCCATTAGAAGGGGAATGGAACTGGGTTAAGCTTTGAAAAGACAACAAATCTCTATAAAATACATCAATTGTGAGATCAACGTTCCCACACGTTCCAGTTAAGATCTAAAGAGTCTGAAGACACTTATGGATGACGTTAGCACTTGTTAATTAAGATGCATAAGAGATTAGTTATGCTGTAGATTTATGCCACTTGTTGTCTTTTTAAAATCTGTGTAACTGTCATGGAAAATATACAGAGTCAGATTTGTGTGGCAGTATAATGTTAAACAATCTGCGCCTGAACCTGCATGTCCTTCATAAACTCTTAAAAAAGGACTCAAAATCATCTGAGGAACCTCTGCGCTGCATCGGTGACTCTTGAGGAAGTGACTGCATCACAGGATGTCATCCGGAGACCTGCAGCAGCTACAGGCTGATCCGTACAGGTCACTTTCACCTTCCTTCACAAGCCAAAAGTGTGAGCTTCCCTACACGGGTGGACAGTGTGCATGCCGCTCCATTTTTGTCTCTCTACGTAAAGAACAATCTTCATTTTCAATATAAATAGAAAAAAAGCAATAGAAACAGATTCACAATAGTTTTGTGGAAGAATGGTTCAGAAAGTAGTGTAAAAAGCTGGATTTGTACTGTTCTGAAGGGGGCAGAAGGCTTATGGGAATCCTTTGATGGGTCTCGGTGGGGGACGTTCAGCACTGATGAAGAAGACTATTACGGAGCGTTTCATCCAGCTTGTGTGGTGCAGTAGGCACTGATTTCGACACTGATGGCACAGCTTCAGGTCTAGTCATTAGGCTTTGTGTTTTTGTGTGACCTCGTCTCATTTTTTATTTTTTATTTCTTCTCAAATGTTAGTTCTTTTGATCTGTTGCCGTTTTGAGAAACGATGGTAAGAAAAGAAACCCTGTAGCAGTATTTAAGTGATTTATGGTGTCTAGTCTTTTGTTGTTTACAAAGCTTGTGTAATTGTTTTCAGACTGAAATAAAATGATACCTACAGCACAATTATTAGTCAAGTAAGTCAAAAAATCACTGTTAGCTTACTGCCGTAAACCATTTTCCGTGTCTGAGTCGATAAACCTGTGTGCAATGCCACTCCGGCCTCAGTTTGAGTACCGGCTTGGATTCTTTTTGTGCTCTCTACTTAATAAAACATATTGGGTAGTCTTCAGTGTCATATGATCCTTCAGAAATCATTCTAATATGCTGATTTATTGCTCTAGAAACATTACCAATGATGAACAGCTGTGCTGCTTAATATTTTTTAAAGACACAGTGCCACATTTTTTCTGTTTTTTTTTTTAAGAATAAAAAAGTTAAAAAGAGCAGCATTTAAAAAAATATAAACAATTTGTAATTTTATAAATGTCTTTACTGATTACTTTTGATCCATTTAATGCATACATGCAGAAAAAACATTATTTTCTTTCCCAAAAAAAAAACCACGTACTAACCCCAATCTTTTGAATGGTATTGTATGTATGTGTAAATATAAATAAATATATAGAAATATAGGCCTATGGTAGAGAATGGCGCTACCAAGCTCATGGGTTTAATTCCCAGAGAACACAGGTAAAACCGATATATAAACCTTGAACAATATAAAACTTGCCCAGTGTCAAATGTGAGTAAAAATAGGCCCTGGCGAATATATGAAACTGTGTCAATCGCCAGTTGACCGGTATCATTTTTATGAATTCTAACAATGCAACGTTGTGAAACATCGGTGAACGTAGACAGAATTGAAAGATGAGTCAGTATCAGTGTATTGGATCAGTGCATTAGGTCTTAAAGTGACAGCAGCCTAATAAGGGCAAAGAAAACAAATTCACTGCTCTTGACTGAATAACTTTTGTAACATTTATAAGGATTCATCTGTTTAATTTATTCAGTGAAGACTGTCCAGTGTTATTTTACATTTGATTATTTATTCAATGTCTCTACCTGAAAACTTAAATTACTTGTATTTACTTGTTTTAAATGTATTATTAGTTAGGCTAGTAGGTTTAGCTGTGGTATCGAAATATGAATAGAGAATTATGAATGTTCACCGGTAGGGTATATCAAATGTTGGTGTCTAACTGCATGTTTTTGCAAAAGTAGTTTAATGGCTGGTAAAAAAATATTTATAAATTGTCTTAAGTCACCAGCCATTGGAAGGCGTGGCAAAAGGTTTTAGACACAGAATGTAAATATCTAAAAATTAACCATGAGGAATAAATGCTGTAAAAAGTAGTTGTTATATAATAAAAACTTGTTTTTGTAGAGTCACCAAGGTAATTCTGTTATAAAAAGTGGGATGTCTGATGACATGTACACAATTTTAATCTCTGCAAATAAATACATCAGAGCAGATGAACATAAATCAAAAAGCATGTTAGACAGAAGAACTTTTGTACAATACCCAATACGGAACATCATCCTCAATCATGCATGTCCCTTTATGATGTAAGAACATCCAGGTCATTGTAATAATGTTCTGTAAACATTCAGTACTGTGCTGGTAGATAGTGACTGATAAACAATTCAAGTTGACAATTGATGCGCATGATGGGCGGTGGGGGAAGCTAAAAAACCCCCAAAAATTATGCTTTATATAAGATGCATATCTCGCTCTCTTTCTTCCTTTTTTTGATAAAAGTGCACTCCTTCTCTGCCCACTAAAGAGAGAAGCCCTGCAACTGAGTCTTTCTACCTTGACATGAGCAAACAGACCAGAGGAAGAGCCCTTAGTATGAACACAAAACATATCCCTCTGATCTATCATCAGACATCATTAATATACAGCCTTGCTTTAATGCAAGTCTCCTGAGTGAAAAACAGTCATTTCAGTTCAAGTGCACACATTGTTTTTGAATGAAACTTTGGACTGCAGAACTACTGTAAGAGGAGTGTATTTTTGGCTGATTGAACACACTTCCTCTGAGCATGGCACTGTCATGAGCAGTCCTACGCTATCAATCACACACTAACATGACAAACATGGCACTATGTCAGGTACCATCTGTGGGTGGGGATTATTTATTTTGGTAAGCGAGAGTGTTTGTGCCGTCGGGAGCAATAAGCACTGGCTAAAGCATCTTCAGTGTCTGTTGTTCAGTCTGCAGAACAATCCGGTGGGCCGATAATCTCGAGCCATTATTGCAGCTGAGATACGCGCAGTGGAATGACACTGCTGAAGTCCAGGAAGAATGGGCCTTCTTGCTTGGGCAGGAAGGTAGTGGGGATGACATTGTAAATCCCAGCAGGGAAGTTCTCAACATCCATATAACAGAAACCGCATCTGAGGATAAAGAGATCAGATTCTGTTATATAAGGTAGGATAATGAACCGTTTTTTGAGTACACATTATAAATGCGCCTTAATCTTTGAACTAGGGCTGTCAACGAATATTCTAAATTCGAATATATATTCGAATAGTTTTAAAAAACAGAAATTCGAAGGTGAAAAATAATATTCGAATCATGTGGAAAAACACGCGCGCGGTAGCAGAGGCGGGGCTGTCTGCTTTGCGAGTGGCAAAATTCTGAAGCTTAAAATGTAAAACGCATTTTCCAGCTGCACAGACACAGTGAGTGTCTGGCTCACTCATTGGCTGTGCTGCGGCAACTGCACATCCAATGGCACGGGCGCCTCCAACGTGTGCGCCAATGAGCAGTCCTTCCAGAAAAACGCGGAGTTTTTTTGTGATTGTTGCGGGCAAAAATCCTTGATTACGCGGCCCGTTTTCTTTAAAAATGCGATGGAATATGCGGGATACTTATGCAATTTTTTGCGATGAAATTGCGGGAACTTGCAAAAATTGCGGGAACTTGCAAAAACTGCGGTTTGATGAAAAAGAGAAAAAAAAGTGATTCCCCAACGCCCTGTTCTCACTAGGCTCCTACCTTAATGTAAAGAGTCCTTTCTTATTACTTCCTATGATAAGCAAGCATACTACATCACAGAAAGTGCTGGAAATATTTAGTTTCTCATCTTGTTTTATTTCAGACTGTAACGAGTGGAAATAAGGTGTGGCCCTTTAAGAGCTGCGCGCTGCTCCCTGTCTAACTGTCTGCAGTAACGTTATTATAATGTATGTGCCATGCGCCTCGAACACCCCATGTGTGCGGGTAATTTCTGTTTGATGCTACTTTTATCTTATTTTGTTTAAGTAACGATGTGGATGGTAGAACGTGTGACAGACAGTTACGAGTTCGATTTGGGAATAAAGTGCGATTTGGGAATAAAGTGCGCCTCCGTGAGTCTGTCTGGCCTCTGCAATAACTTCAGCTGTGAGATATCCCTATTTTTCTTCCCGACACAACGCGTTACAAGACCTTAATAAACACATCAAACTTACAAAACATTGCTGAGTCAAACAAGTTCTGTAGCTTTACTAGAGGAATATACTACAACTTCAGTAAAAATTAATAAATGAAATATTTAAAAATAAAGTGTGCTCCTGTTTTACAGCTTCTTTTTTTTTTTGCGACGAAAATGCGGGGATTATGAAATCATGCAAGCCCCGCATATTTTGCGCGGAAATCAGCAATTTATGCGGCGAAATTGCGGCGTATTTGAAAAAATGCGGCCCCCGCAAAAATGTGCGGACTTTGGCTGATTTTGCATTGAATTCAGCGATCGCATAATCGCGTTTTTCTGGAGGGACTGAGCTAGCATTACATCAGACACGTCAGAGCCCGCCAAGGGGGCGTGGCCAGACGCCCTCGAAATAGCCATAGTAGCAGGCTAGCTAGCAGCAGTTTACCCATGAGTTTACCACAGCACAGCTCGCTCGGAGCGTTCAATGTCGGTTCTATATACTGTAAAACTTCAATTAATGTTAATAATATTTGTTTCAATCACCGAATGAAGCCTGCTATATTTAGGACAAGAGTCGCGACCTTAAATTGCTTGCACAAAACTCTTGATCAGCACTCAACATTTGTTTATTGTTGTTCATTTAAACCGTTATGCGCAGAGAGCGTGAGGGCGAGAGAGAGAGAGAGAGAGAGAGAGAGAGAGAGAGAGAGAGAGAGAGAGAGAGAGAGAGAGAGAGAGAGAGAGAGAGAGAGAGAGAGAGAGAGAGTGAGAGAGTGCCTGCGAGTGCGAGCGAGAGTAAGGTCTGCGGTCTTGGCCATTAGTTGATTTACTTGGTTTTGTGTAAGTTAATACGTTGTCAAATATGTTTAAACTTAAATAAACTACCTATACAAGTAGTTGTGTCTCTTTGTATTAATTTGTCCTGTTATTGACGTAATGCGCGTCATTGACAAAATGCG